TGTCCACTTCACAAAGGAGCAAGAAACTTCACCAACGAAAGTGTATCGGAAGCGGTGAAGTAGAGGAGTACATTGACTTTGCCTGTGAGACTTTCTGTTTGTATTTAAGGGGATGCATCTGAAGAATATTTAGGTTAAATTTAAACCAAACCAATTCAGAAAAATTAAATTCAATCAGAAATTATTCTGTTATACAACTAATGGTTGCTGAGGCTAGTAAACCTGAAAAAGATTGAGTTACTAACCTTAAAGACATAAAAGAAATTAGTTGATGCTTTACTGAAGAGATTCACTTATTATCAATAATTCCTAATGCATTCAAGTTAGTGCCAATAACCAACTTCAGCCTGAAAGATGTGGATTGTGTAGAAATTTTTACCATCTGATAATGGTACACAGTACAGCAGTTTCAGCAGAATAACAGTATCGCTGCAGTACCAGCACTTGCTCAAAATGTTGTTTATTAGCATCTCAAAGCCTCAGTAAGCTCCCAACTACTATGCCATGTGCTTTAAATGTAACTGAAGAGCAGAGGATGTTTAAAACTACAACAATGTATTTCCTCAGTTTGTGGAAGACACTTTCATTCTTGTGGGAAACAAAATAGAACAACACTACTTTCAAGAAATCTGCAACTAGTGAAAGTTACTGGCCGAGCCCTTCCCAGACTGAAAGCAAATTTTCAATTAAAAAAAAAAAAACAAACCACAACAAACAACTCAATAAAGTATTAATAAAAAATGAGATGCTAAAAACAATGTCATATTTTTCTGTATTTTAAAAATTATTTTAAAATTTATTTCAAAATCACAACCAATGACACTTAACACCATCGCAGGTCCCTTCGCCCTCTTCCCCCTGACTACTTTGAGAGTTACTTTGACTAGAAACAGTGCAAAAATTTGACACTCAACAAGAGCCTGCGACCCCCCCTTAGCACTGGGCAGAGATCACAGCGCTGTTACTACCTCAGCCCAGCTCCTTCGCAGGGAGAAGGGCCTCCCAAGAAAAGCAACACTATGGAGATAGTAGGAGCCAAAACTAAGGGATTCAGTTCTTGCTAGAAGTAATGCCACTGTGTTAATTGATGCACCTCCTCAGAGACATTACCACAAGTCACAGAAAATACATTGGAAATACTCACAGGTGTTGCAACTGTATAAATCCAGTATAAAATAGGGAAATCGTGAATATCCAGCATATTCACAATCCACCAAAATCAGGTTTACATGGATTTTACAAGTGAGAGAAAGATCTAGATTTAGATGCTGTAACAGAACACATGAGAAACCATTTTCCGAAGAATGTAGAGTTCATCGCCCTAAAAACTACATTAACAAATTCATAATAACTACATCAGCCTTTTAAAAAACAAACCAGGACATCTGATAAATCCAAACAAACACCAGAATCTCATGTGCAGACGTGTCTCTTCAGTGCTGTATCAGAAATAAACGGGGCTACTTCAGCTCACACGGCATTAGTTGTACCTCTCACCTCAGAATGCCATGTTTACTGTGTCATGAAAGAGACCCCAAATTTTAGGGTGCCTGCATATAAGAAGTTATCAATGCAAAGTAACAAAGTTATAGAGAAAACTACCTGCAGGAGCACTTAGGTACTGATATCTATTTGGGTTCTCAATGTTAAAATTACTCCCCCCTTATTTGTCCATTAAAAATTTTCATTTTCAGCACTGCAAAAGAAAAATAACCACGGAAATTCTTACCTTGCAGTGTATTTATAGCAATGAAATACAGACAAAAGGAGCCCAGACAAGAAATACCTGTTCAGAATATACAGATTTTAAAGCAAAGTGCAAGTAAGAAGCTTTTCAAATCTGTCAAGCTATAAAAGGTTGTATTACGCATACACAGGTCCCTTTGCAACGCTTGCTGAAGTGACCACGCACCCAGAGACAGGCAGAAAGCTTGTCATTTGAGAAAACTGTCTCTCAAACTTGGAGCCTGCTGCTCGGTGAAAAAGCCCCCGGAAGGCTCAGGCTACATGTGCCGGCATCCCAAACCTAAACCAGTATGTCCTGTTGGATCACACCCTGCTTTCAGTCCCCTACACCCTGAGCTTCCCTTACTCAGAGTGTAGGATGCGAGTTAAGGATGGTGTGGGAAGGAAAACCCACTACTCGGTGCCGGCAGCCACGAGGTGTCAGCAGCAGCAAGCGCACAGCCGGCATCGCGGTGCCCGAAGGGCCGTGTTTCCCCTCGGCTACCCATGTACACACCACTGTTGGGTACTACAAACCACCTTTACACTCACACAGGAATTATGCAGCTATTTCTGTTGAAGATGACCTACTTTTCTGAATTAAATATTTAGAAGATGATAAAAATATTCCCTTTGCAAACAGCAAAAAAAAAATCAGGAATTAAAGAAAAATTAAAAAGTCATTCAAGTGAACAAAATGCTGATATTGGTGTCACTGTTAGAATTTAAGTAATATTCATAAAGACAACAATCTGCCTCAATACAGCCAAGTAAACACACTGCTTCTGATGGGTTTTACTGCACTGAACAGCCACAGAGGTTTGTGGAAGCTGAAAGCCCATCACAGGTAACAGAAAAATCTGGCTTAACTCAACTACGAAATAAACAAATACACAGGGTCTTACATAAGATTTATCTAACAAAACAACTGGTTCAGTTATGTTTAGACTTCCAGACTGTAATACCTGGATGTGCTTTTTCATGCAAAAATTCCAGTTACTGAAGGCCTCAAAGTTTACAGCAACACTAACTCATTCATTGCCAGTGTATTGGTTTGTGTATACATTACACAGACTTGTGTCCCGAGAGTAAAAGCTTCTGAACAGAATAAGAATAATTACTACACTTAAGTTGAATGGGAATTTCAAGTCTGCTCTGACAGACATTCTGGGCCTACACAGAATAATGAAAAATAGCTTCACAACATTTATCCTGAAAAGTCAACTCATACCAGATGAAAACACGATCCATGAAATTAAATTTTCTGATGAGACAAAAAACTTGCACTTGGGAAAAAAAAAAAACCACCCTGAAAATTTCCACTTCCTGATTAGTAAAACTGAATTTTATGACATATTTGTGCAATTAAGTTTGTCAGTTGTCTTTGCTGGAATGATAAGCAAACCAAACAATTTGCTCTACTTCCTTGGGTTAGCTGTCCCTGAAGTTGCACGTTCTAGGGGTGCACCATCGTCACCTGGTTTCAAATGTTCCTCTTTAACATTCAGCCTTCAGCATACCAGATGGTATTTCCAGAAAAGCAATTTCATTTTTTATTTTTCTTCATAAACCCCTTAACTAGTTAATCTCACGCACACATCCAGGCAGAGCATACACCAATATTCCCAGAGTTGCCTGGCAACTACTGGGAGGAGCATCAGAGAACAAGGAAGCCTGCATGGATGAGGGGAAGTCAGTGTCTCCCCGACATGGATAAAGGAGGCTTGCTGCCAGAGCACCTTTTGTCATTTATATTGACCACATTTTAAAATACCGCCCGTTAGTTCACCTTAGATGCTTTAGAAGGCCAATGCTGATGCCCAGACATACATACACAAGTCAATACAATTTATTTTTTCCACACCCACGACACACGGATTCCCCCAGTAATGTGTGGAAGGACTCATGCTGGCTTCAGAAGTTGCTTTTGAACCCTGAATATAAATTGTTGCCACGATGCTTATTTGATGGTGATGACTGGACGGTTCAAAATCCAGACTGAGCTATCTTTTCCTTCTGGATTTAAAAATAAGACAAACTATAGTACTGAAGAGACTTTAGTTACTGAAACATCCTCAGCCTCAAGAAACCCGATGCCTGCAGTCCAGCTTCTGGTCTTTAACATCATGATTAAATTTAGATGTATTACTTGTTTGTATGCCAGATCTCTCCATTAATCTCCACCAAGCAGGATAATGCAAAATACAACACCTTTTCTCAACTAGTAAGCCTTCATTCTCACTCTGCTCATTTCACCTCTCCACTTAAACTCAGAATTCAGCATTTCCCAGATGTATTCGAGCTCTCCACTGCTACCAGTAATTTTCCATTCTGCCTCCAGATGCTTACAGATGACAGAGAAGGTATTAAAACAAAAGTATGTTTTGTCCTCTACAGGGATCTTCTTGTTAAGCAGCCATAGGTCTTAACAACACTAGTTCAAATGAGCCCCTGAACACTGCATTGAGATGTATCCCTGCATTTGACTTGCACACCTCTTAGTTTCCCTTGCTTCGGAAATAGGGAACAGAGTATTTTGGAAATATTCTGTGGATCACTCTGCAGTTCACACTTTTCACCCCCCATATTTCTGGGACATGGCTCATGAAATATACCTGAATGTTCCTCATGCTGTTCACCTTGCCTCTAACTATCAGCAAAACGCACACACTCTAAAAAGAACCCTCGTGGTATATGGCAGCAAAACCAGAGTGTCACTAAACACGTGTAAATACATTAATTTGGCTGGACTGATTTTGTGTCGAAGTCTTACTGCAGGGAGCTCCACAGGCAGGGGCAGATGCCTGACTAGAAGCAATAAAACCCAAGATCAAGTATAGAAAAATTCTTCCCCCCACTCAGATGGCACTTAATCGTTGCTAAATAGAGATTTAGAGATTCACTTGATTGGATTGATTAGATTGAATCTCCCTAACAGGACATTTATCGTCAGTAGTTACAACTCCAGACATTCTTCATTTCTGTAAAAACACAATTTCTTTACTATGTTCTTAAACCCCATGATTCCATAAATTTGCATGTTTCACAGAAAGTAAAAGTGTATCTTTAAAAACAATACACAAATACCCAGGTTTTGCAGTGAGAAAAAATGGTCAACTCGGCACTAGTCTCCTACGCTCATTACTTTATACTTTATCATCTTGCTTCTAACTTCACTGACCTCAAAAACAATCCTACACTTTTAATTCTTCTTAGCTTTTTTACCCCACCACAGCTCCAGATTTACATCTTATGCCTACTGATTTCCTACTTACAGGTTCAATTTTCAGGGCGTTCCTGTAGCTCCCAAAGAAAGATGCTTGTGCTTTTAGAAAGGCTCTTGCAACACCATCTCCAGTGGTTGTAGAGACTTTCTTCAATCTGTTCTTCAATGCAGAAACCTGAAATCACACAACAGGTCTAGATCAGTCTCACATCACAAACAGAGCTTAACACATTGGGGCACAGCTAAATGAAAAACGTGTTAAGCACAGCAGCAGTTACAACAAGTGACATTGTGAATTCAGAATTTAATTTTTCAGTTCTAACAGCACTACTTTTCACGCTGTTTTGCTTCTCTGAGATATGACTGGATTCTATTCAGAAACCCATAGGAAAACAAAAGCTTCATTTCCACCTTCCCTCCTACTTAAAATCCCCTGTTAACATGCTGACGAATACTCTTTCAGAGGTACACCATGAAGTTCTGTGTCATTCTGCATTAGAATCCATGAAGAAACTTCCGCCAAATTAATTCAAACGTCAGACTAATAGAGAAACCAACCTGCATAGTCGGGCCATCTATCACCATCAAGGCAAAGAACGAATTCTCCAAGTCTGAAATTTGTATGCCACAAATACAAGGTGTTTTGTTGGTTTTTTTTTTTCTTTAAGGCTATATTCCCTTGTATTTCACAGACTTCACAGAAAATAACAAAATGGGAGATTTGTTTCTGCATGTGGTGGGTTCCCTGGCCGGCTCCCAGACCCATACCCAGCCACTCCCTCACTCCCCCTCCTCAGCAGGACTCGGGGAGAAAACCAGAAGAAAAAGCTTGTGGACTGAGATAAAGGGAGATCACTCATCAATTAGCAGCATGGGCAAAACAGACTCGACTTTGGAAAATTAATTTATCGCCAATTAAACTTGAGTTGGACAGTGAGACACAAAGACAGAAACTCGAACACCTTTCCCCTCCCGCCTCAAACACCATCCCCCCTCCATTCCCAGCTCTCCTGCCTCCTCCCCGAGAGGTGCAGGGCGATGGCAATGGGCGACAGCTCCTCTCTGCCACTCCTTCCTCCTCACAACCTTCCTCAGTGCCATGTGGCATCTCCCTCACACAGGCCCCAGCTCCGCCGATGGCCTCGGCCTGCTCAGGGCTCTGCCATGGAACCAGCTGGAACCGGCTGGTGCCGCCCAGCCCTGCCCAGAGGCCCTCAGCCTCCCCGCCAACGCCTCGCCACCCAGCGCAAGCCAGAAAATTCAACCTGCCTTTCCTTAGAAGTCTCAGAACGACGACGTTCTGTCCTGCCAAATGGCCAGGATCTGAGGGGGTTTTCTTCCTGTTTCTCAGGAGATCCAAACCACCTGTGCCAGACGGGCTCCTCCCTAACCCGCCCTGCCCTTCCCCTTCCCCCGTGGAGGTGGTTAATCACCTCAGGATCCTCAGAGCCGCCCCAACGGTCCCAATACCGTTTACACAGAGACACCATCACAGCTCAGAGTACTGACTGAACACATTCCTGTGCAGGCAGAGTTAAAACCACATCACATCACCTGAATGTTCCTTGTTTTCTGCGTACACCATGGGCTAAAGTATATGGGAATTATCCGTTACTGTTCTCTGCTTCAGACCTTCTCATACATACAAGAAGGTTGTGACTTAGTTCCATGTCTCTTTTCTAGAGCTTAGAGCTCAGTGACTACTGAAGTAAGGTTGTGTATCTATATTTCATTGTCAGTGACAGCATTTTTCTTTGCCAAACACAAGCTGGGAAAGGAGATAAAAAAACCTTTCAGAGATTAACATCAAGCTGGCTGTGCCTGCGCTGCAGCGGTTATAGGTTACGTTAAATCATTAACAAATAGTTGTGTCAGCAGCAATTTTTTGGTGTTGCAGACAGGACCAGGACAAGTTTTTGAGATACATCTGACACAACACAGAGCGACACAAAAACAACAATCTGGGCACTGATCCTTGAAAGAAATCCAACTAGTCCTCTTAGAGGACGCGGTCATACCACGTGCAAAGCCAGCGTTTGATGAGATGCCTTACGCGGACGACAGGAAGGAGCCACAGCTTAGGAAGGAAAGCAGACAGCCAGGAAATCCCTAGTCATCTTGATTGGCAGAACATGAACGACTCCACAAATATCCATATTATGAATTTAACAGAAATAATTCTACCAATATCTAGCAAATGTTCCTTTTTCAAGTGCTGTTCTGAAGAACTCCATCGGGTAGGTCTATATACTTCACCTATGGAAGAAACGCTGTAGGAATATTATTTACAGAATAAGCAGGTTCGGTTGTAGTGAACATAACTAACTTTTCTGAGTGTGAAGAATGCTTCATTAAATATAAGCCAATGGTACAAATGTTCAAATTAATTTTCAGGACCTTCCCCTGATCCTCCAGCTTGTAACAAAAGCTTATCCTGGCCTCATCCATATCTCAAAATTCCGTCCAGAGGAGTTGAGTGTTTTCCGCCTTGGGGTTTTGCTACCAGCCTGCCTTGGCGGCAAATAGCAAGCTGATTTTACTGAGCAACAATTCCCGAATGCTCCAGTTCTATCCCTCCTCTGACAGCATCCCTCCCTTCCTCTTTTAGTAGTCTTAGATTTGGGTGGGGGCAGGAAAACAACTCATCTCGCTATATAGGTGTTAAATATATGATCCATACTGTGCACTACTTTTTCTTCTTTTAAAACTGTTATATTTGCACTTGTGCTTACCAAAACAGCTGCAAAGACATCTCCTTTTAAATTTTCTGCAGATTCTGTTGTAGAAGGAAATTCCTTGCAGTTATTTAGCGTAACAGAAATAAGCAAGAGCGTGTCCAGCATTGTTTGTAAATCTGAATGCTGTGGCTTATGCCAATGAGCCATGCATTAATGAGCCCATAAGCACATGTTAACATAATACATGATAACAGATTTATTCTATCATGCCCATAAAATAAGCTCGCTCCTACTCACTGAGAGAATGTCTCTCAAGGAGCTCAGTTAAAAAGTAAAAGCTTCATCAGCTTTTCAAACCCAAACAGCACACTTCTCCATGTTTGAAGGAGTCTGATGTTGTAGGGGTGAAGTATGCGTTTATTTCCCATATTAACTCATGTAAACCACTTAAAGGTACTTCTTAAAAACGCAAGAAAATGTCTGTAGCTCTGAGTAACTTCCAAATCCCTCTCAAACATTCTGATAAGTGGTTTTCTTTAAACATTCACGTGAAGATAAAGTACTTGCTATCTATATAGAAGGGAGAGGCTCTATGCTTTGTTTCACAACAAACTCAAGTTCTGGAGGTTAGTCACAGCCTTTCTGTGTTTCAGCTTCCCTACTTGCCATAGAAGCAGAATATTGACAGGTATTTGGCTATTTCCTTCAGCTTTCAGATCACTGCTCTCTTCTAAGACTAAACTGAACTCTGCAGGATGTCTGCTTTATATAGGCACACTTTTACTCTTTCAATCAGGCCTATTGCAGTAGGCAAGTCAGTTTTAAAAAAATAAAATGTTAACGACAACATATTTAAAGAGACTAACAAGTAAGAAAAAAAAATCACGGTTACTCTGGAATAAATTAGTACATAAGACAAAGTGGATTATAGAAGCAGAATTATGATTGTTTCCTGCCTAAAGAGGCAGTTAAAAAATAAGACTGTGACCACTCAATATGAAGATTATTTCTAGCCAAACAGACACATATACATGCAGTCTACCCTGAGAGTGTTTTTAAAGAAGATTTTTATACTTCTGGCAGTTCAGGTTTAAAGGTCAGATTTAAACTATCACCATGTTTCAAAATGCAATCTGTGCAATGCAGCATAATGAAATGGTTCAGTAAAGGTGCTAGTGGAAATTCTTTTAATTAGGTCCAAGGCTTTTCAGTTGTCAACATGAATAAAGCAAGAAACATTCTATTGCAAACACAGTGTAAAAAATAAAAATGGATTCACCTTTAAGAAAATGGTTCTGCTACAGAGTTGTAGTTTAGTAGTTCTCGCTGTCCTGAAAGCAGTTAATTTCCCACTAAGCAAAAACCAGTAACACAGGCTTCCTACTTGTGGTAACTTGCTAATGAATGGACAACAGTAGCACACACAGCTAAATTACTGACAGCTGAAGATATTCATAGGCTAGTGCAAATTTACAATACTCTCACAGCCGTCAGATATGCAAGATCTCTTTGGCGCAGTACACTGCATTGCATCAGGGCTTCATTTAATAAAAACTACAAGTTGACAGAGCGAGCTTATGCTTTATTCCTTGTAATATGAAGCTCTGACTACAACTAAGACTAGAAGATGACACTTATTTGGAAATACATGAAAAATCCATAAGGGTTGCATAAAAAAAAAATTACTACCCCCTCTTTGCTATTCCTTGCAACACAGACGGTGGTGTAGGAGACTTGTCAGCAGCAGATGCACTTATTGTAATCACAGTCCTTAATAAATCTCTTTTTTTAATATTGACTATTTTAAAAGGAAAGTTACTTCCCAGGGTGTTCTCATGCTGCCAGATTTTCAGTAACATAGCAGAAGCAGAAGGGGAAGGAGGGACCATTTTTCACATTTCAAATGGTTCATCGGTAACACAGTAGTACACACCTTGATTTTCAGGGACCTGACCTGAAGAGCTCCAGAGGTCTGACTGCTCTCAGGTACTGCTGAGGGAAACCAGGGCAAAGAAATGTCTTTATCAGATTCTGCTGGAACTGTCTCAGTGCTACCCAGCTCCTCTGACACAAATGTTAACTGGAAAGACATTTCACTGCAGCCTATGTTCATTTGGATCCTGGGAGTAAAAGATTAATGAATGGTCCATTCTAGATTCCCGAGAACAAACAGTTCAGGGAGCAACATGGCCATCCTGGAACTCAAGCACAACTCACTACCTGAAGCTCTAAACTAATCCTAGGACTTCATGGCATTGTTTTACTCGATTAAAAAAGCTGTTGGAGGACAGGGGGGAAAAACAGCTTTAAAAATTTTCCACTGGATTAATTACCCGATGGTGAATGCATCACACAGAAGATGTTTTTCCTCAGTGTTGAATACAGATAGATTTAATTTAGCAAAGTAAATTTTATGTCTACTCAGCAGCGCATGAATCGCTCTGTTCACATTAAGCAGCAAAACTGGCAGGATAGTTCGACATAACAGCCATTTATGAAACTGTTGAAGACATTTTTCGTTTTTCAGATTATAAATGCACCTATTTAGACTGAGACCAGTGGGGAGACACTCCCCGAATCTCCTCATCCTCCCCGGGAAGCAAAAGAAAAAAAAAGTAGTATAATGGATTGGCTTTAGAGTCTCCCTGCTGAGATGAACAACTTGATCCACTTACAGTTCCAAACACATGATGCATGAAAGAACTGACAGAAATTCAATTCTTGCAAAGAAGAGCAGCTGCTCTCTAGTGGTCAAAGCCAAATATTAAGCAGTCGGAAGGAAAGGAAAAGACCTAAAGGAGAATACTTCATTATCTAGGTAAATGAAATAATGAAACAAAGCTAAATAAGACATAAACACTGATCCCAAACACTAATTACACAACGCAACACGATTCAAGTTAAGGCTTTGTTGCGACAAATATTAATCCCAGCTGTATTTATATAGCAGTTGTGAAAAAAAATACACCATGTACGCTATTTGTGAGCCATGCCAGTTAATTGAATTTGCTGGCAGCACTTCCTCTGCTATGCTCCAAACATCCTCCAAGATAAAATGTAGCTTTTAAATAAACCTGTGGAAAACTGAATCAAGAAATTTGAACTAATAAAACACAACTCTCTACTGTTATAAAAGTGAAGTAAAAGTAAATAATGAAAGGAAGGAAGTCTCTTAAAATTTATTACATTCCAAAGCTTGAAGTTCTGTGTTTATTGGTGAAGTCTCTTCTGATGTTCTACAGTGCGCCTACAACAGTTCCTTTAATGAAGTCTCATAAAATCTAATATAATACTTGATTGTTGACAAATCATATCCATGTTTGAGGCCCTGCACTCACTGTATCCAGACATTTCTTACATAATTCCAGGACATTTACAAGTCTGTCATTCCCCGGGTTGGGATAATGGCACAAGTGATGACCAGCTGGCAGACTTGGATGCTGGGAGTGAAATGAAAATGAAAAGCTATATAAAGCCAGAAAAATTCATGGAAGTTACTTTTATAGACTAAATGCTTGACTAAAGCCAAAACGTTCCCAGTCAAGATGGACCTTTCATCCGGAGCTCACTGTCGTGCAGACGGGTCACACCACAGATCACAAGGAAGTGACCAGATGGCACAGTCAGAGGCACTGGGTATCCCCCATTACTTGAGCTTTTCCTCACACAGACCAGCTTATATCGAGCTCCCGGCATATCAATTTTATTTCTCAGCTGCACAGAAAAGGTGTAGATCTAACTGTCAGCACAATATTTTGAACTAGTAAAAGAAATCCAGATTTTCCCCTGACGTTTTCTCCCAAACAGTCACCCTCTGACTTAAAAATAGCTTCTTACACTCTTAGTCGCTTTACTGCTCTTCCCTCTCAGCTTCTTTGGTGAAGATGATGACAGCAGCAAGTAGCAAGCTGGATGTATTTTTGGCTCATTAAAGGGAAAGATCAAGTATTTGTACAACATTTCTATCAAGTTATTAAAAGATGAATAAATTAACAATAAAACATTTGAAGGGGAAAAGAATTTCCAAACTATATGCACTGAGCTGGAAGGGAATATGAAGTCGTCTCAGGATATAAAATGCACAAAGTTCATTAAAGCTCCCCTGGAAGAAGTCACAGGAAAAAACCCCACAATTTCACTTGGAAACAAAAGTTATCTAAGCATGCAGGTTTGTTTGGTTTTTTTCCCCTAATGGAATGGATAAAGATGGTTCCAAATAGTAGGGCTTTTTCACACCATAAGGAAAGAAGTTGGAATTTTTGTTTCCTGTTCAGATGGACCACGACCTGTATGGTTTTTTGTCTTTTTCACCCATAAAAGACTTAACTCTTTAGATGACCTGAAACCTGACATGCGCTTCCAAAAGAAGAGGTTGCTGCTGCATTTCCATCTTATGTGAGCAATAGCTATTTTTACGTCTCCTAATGAAAACTATGTCTGCAAATGTTCAAACACTGCTTACCACTTTGAAACAGGAACGAATCGAGGTAAAGCAGTTTACTCATAATAACAAGAGTAACACAATGAGACACCTCAGTTACAAACCAAAACAGGTCAAAAGGATTTACACTTTTAAGTAATAGAACACTTGAACAAATAATTTCATACATACCACATCATTAGGAAGGCTCTGAAGGTCATCAAAAGGGGTTTCCAGTGTGTTGGTGTCTACATTAAGAATCACTACATCTTCCAGGGCCATGTTTCTTACTTTCTAAGAAAGAGAAAATTCAAGAATAGGGAAGGAAAACACAATATGAAGAGTTAAGTCTTATGCACAAAGGACACGAGTGATGGCAGAACATCGTGACACCACAAAACTTGAGGCATTTTAAAAAGTACCAACATGCCTGTACTTCTGCCATCATTTGTTTTATTTATTCACATTTTACAATGCCAAGAAGTTAACCTTCAGTTTGCAGAGGGGAGTTCTTAACACGGTGCACAGTGTCGCTTTGGAACCAGAGAGTCCCAGTTTGAGTGTTTACATCATCTGTCGCAGTACACGGACATAGCGAAGAAAAGCATAACCCGTTTCTCAAAATAAGCATCATTATTACCTTAGAGTAAGTGTCTAGAGAATATTGGTGATCTAAGCATATGTAAACATGGGCAGACTTTATTTCCCTGCTTAAACAGCAAATGAATCACTGATACGAAACAGAGCAGCATTTAAATATTTATTTTAACACTTTTTCCACTAACAGGAGAGTTGCATCTTTTTTTTTTCTTTGACTGACTAATCATACATATTTAAGCCCTCTTCAAACACAGCTCTGAAAATGCAAAATCAGAAAAAGTGCACTATAGAACACGGTAATTATCCAAGTTCCCAGTGACACTGCAAACAAACATTTACGTACCTCCACACCTACACGTGGGACCAAATGCAAGTTACTGAGGAGGAAAATGAACCAAAACATACTCAATTTTTAATTAAGGTTTTGTGGGGTGGGGGGAATTGTTTCCTTTAAAAGAAAGGAACTGAAGGTCTAAAACAATGGCAAAGTTGAGCCTTAGGCATCTAAATAATTACCTTCAGTTTTCAAGGCTCAGTCCTCTGTCTATAAAGAAAACTGCCGTGTACTTAGGGGGGAAAAAAAATCCAACGACTATAAAAAACACTTTGTAGGCATTTAAGTTTAGGTCTTCCATGTGAAATTTCTTTAACTTAAATGGAAGGATATTACTTTTAATGCTTTCCATATAAAAAGCACAAGTACTGCATGACAAACCAGGTACTTTCCTCTACATTTCAGGAACCAAAGGTCACTCTGTTGGCTGCATCTGATAAACTCTAAAGCAATCCAGGAGTCTTGCTCCTTCTAGGAGTCCGGAAGCACCAGACAAACTGATTTGCTCCTTCCTGTTTCAGAAAATTAAAAATCTCACTTATACTCAGAGGAGTCTAAAAATTTCCAACAAAAAGCTCTTGCAATGTTACTTAACCAAAGCCAGAAGCTTGTCAAAATCGAGTGCTAGTAGGACAAGACAGAAGGAATTAAAACCTCTTGATTCTTGCTGAAGAAGCAACAAACGGGCTTGAACTTGTCAGCGGGTGTTTTTGTAACTTTGGTGATGAATCTGCACCTTCCCTGCAGCAAAATGTTGGGGTTTTCTGTAGCAAAGAATAGGCTTGTGACAAGAGGATACGTGCCAAGGAGTAGAGTACAAAAGCATGTTGCTCACGGTGCGAGGGCTATGAACGCTGATCAACATAATCATCTCCACATATGGCCCAGAAATAATTGTATCTGAAAGGAACGCGAATATTAAACTCCCCTATGCTATTCCTTCGCACTGCCAGGAGCACAACCTTCCTTTAAAACTTCTCAATATTTGTATTAAGACAGTGCATTTCTCTGGGGACAAAGCCTGCAATTTAATAAAACACTTGAGACTAACTTGATTTATAGCATCTGTCTTGCAATGCATTTGAAAAAATATGATTTTTCAATGGTCCAGTTGTGGCTCATCCAAGAGAAATGCAGACTGACCGGTTCATCTTAATCCTTATCTGGTTTTATCACCTTTTATTTCACTATAATCTTTGATAAAGGTATTGTCAGATAGTTATACAGGCTTTTGCCAAATAGTCAAATGGCTCTTTTGCTAAACATAGTGCCTATCAGCCCCAGTGAACTGGAAATAAAAGCATTTACACTCTCTTGTTGGAATTTTAGTAAAACTTCCCAGCATCCAATTGCATTTCTCAATTCTCCTATGACGAAAGGCTGCAAGAATTGGGCTTGTTCAGCCTGGAGAAGAGGAGGCTCCGAGGAGACCTCATTGCAGCTTTCCAGTATCTGAAGGGGGCCTACAAGGGTGCTGGGAGAGGACTTTTTACAAGAGCCTGTAGTGACAGGACAAGGGGTAATGGGTATAAATTGAAATCAGGGAGGTTTAGATTAGATATCAGGAAGAAGTTCTTCCCAGGGAGGGTGGTGAGGCACTGGGACAGGTTGCCCAGAGAAGCTGTGGATGCCCCATCCCTGGAAGTGTTCAAGGCCAGGCTGGATGTGGCTTTGAGCAACCTGGTCTAGTGGAAGGTGTCCCTGCCCATGGCAGGGGGGGTGGAACTGGATGATCTTTAAGGTCCCTCCCAACCCAAACCATTCTATGATTCTATGATTTCTCACTTCACGTCCCATTGGACTCTATGAATCACAACTACAAGTTGATCATTTTAACAGGTACAGTTTGCATGTTGTAATTCCTCAAAATATGAAGGGACAGCCCCCAAGCCATACACAGTCACGGTCCACATTGCACAAACTCCTCATTATCCCAACGAAATTTTACAAGTGATACCTCCTGAAGAAAATGGACTATATTCAGTATGTTCATGTTTTGCTGAAAAAAAGGTAGAGAAGCAAAGAGCAAGAGGAACTATGAACATTACAGTTTCCTTATCTAATTTTACTACGGACCGAGGGTTTGCCGAGTCAAAAGAAGTGATTCAGTGAAAATGTGCACCACATACTGCAAACCTTTCTTAACTGTCCTTACTGAATTACTTGTAGCCATAACTAATCATCTAAAAACCAACAAATCGACCCAACATCTACACCTGCCTTTTATTTTAAATGTCTCTTTTTAAAAGAGTGGAGAGGTATGGAAAGCTGGTTTAACAAGCACACTGAACCCATTGTTTATGGCCTCTATAAACATGGCTTAGTAAGAATTACTGACTTAATCAGAGAGAACTTATCTCCTGGTGAAAAGAGCACTTTAAATTTCAGAAATGGCACCTTTACTGTGAAAATCTCTTAACTTTTCAAACAAACTCCAGGGGGCCTTAAACACCAGGTCAGTAAATAAGCAGCAGTTAGTGCGTCTGTCCCGCTCACAAGCAGCCAAACACTTGAAGTAATTTAAATGTTTTATGTGAAACTTTGCAAAAACACTGAGAAAGCATATTCTAACAGGAGTATTACAGGGCGCTCCTCTGTCTCACTCGGATCACGTGCTACAAGCAATATTCATCAATAATATTAACACCAGTTTATACTAAATGTTATTTTATTATCACTGTCTACAGCTGGCAGTTTTTGCATTTCCTACCATAAAAAAAAAAAAATCTTAAGTTAAACTTCTTTTAGATGAACAATTTTATAGAGTCGTTCTTTTCAAAAGAAAAAACCCCAAACACACCCTCCTCCCCTTCTGAAAACCAGGTTTGCCAACTTTATGGCTAAATTGGTGCCATAACATAAAGCAAGTTGATCATGAGCCTTCACAATGAGACACTAATGTGACCAGTGTATCAAAAACTGTAACAGAAAAGAGAAAAATGTACCTTCTGCCAATTCTTTTGGAAAGGTAAAACTCTGAACACAAATGATCACTTTTAGAAGCTAGTTTGAACATATATTTGAGATTATTATGAAAATATGATTCACAGGTCTAAAATTCTTTTGCTTAACGACTTGTCTCTACTTAGTTAATAGAGTCCATTTATTTTTCTTAAGAAAAACACCACAACACTGCAGACAACAATGTGTCAATCTGGCTGCCAGAAGCAGGAAAGGCAACGGATATAAAATTTTATTATTTCATGCCCCAACAGCAGCCAGAAGGACTTAATGAAATCACCCCTAGATTTACAATCTGAAATAGCTATTCCACAGACAACTCCGGTTAAGCTGGATGTGCCCCCTGACCTCCCAGGCCTTTGATCCGGGCCCAGCAGGTGGGCGGCTGCCCCCTCCTGTGCATCTCCCACTCTTCCGCCATCTCCCACCCTTGATGTGCAGCCCCGGAGCCTCTACAGGTGATTCCCAAGATCCTTATCACAAGCAGCTGTTGCCAACTGAGTGACAAACATCGCTACTGCTGCTCACCACAGACGGAAACCTTCTCCGCTTACTGGCATCACACTAGGCGCCTCTGAAAACTTACCCCTCAAACACCCCTACACAGTGAATCTCTTATTAAAACACCGTTATTTTCTTTATTCCAATAATTGAGTAAAAGAGAATTCCCTAAGTAGTTTGTCAGGTTTTAGATGCATTTTTATCAATACTCCTGAAACCGTGTACAGCCGTATTTGTAATATCTGTGACTGAATTACGTTGAGTTTTAAGACCTGGATTTAAGTGTGTGTATATAAATATAACCCCTTCATTTAAACCCTGTAAAAAAGCTACACTTCTTCACTTACCACTGGAAAAGGTAGTGATTTACTAAGTATAAATGGATGGAAAAAGCTAAATATTACTCCTCACTCCACTCAAAACAACGTAGTTAACAATTACCTCTACCACTGGAAGCTGCCAGTGGTCAACGAGTTCTCAGGGAGCCATCTGCAGCAAGAGGAAGACACGTGGCACTGCCAGCACTAAGCCCAAGCTGATGTAACCTGTTCCTCAGCCGCCGGCTCAGACCCCGTGCGTGCTACCGGCACGCCATCAGAGTGGGTCACAAACACAGCATCCTCATGTCTGCCTGAAAAAGGCCAGGTAAATATGCCAAAAAGTGCTTCCAGCATACGAGCGTGGGGTTCATGGTGGGGTTCAGGGGGCTGGACGCACAGCTCAGCATCCTTCTGTCCACACGCGGGAGAGACTATCGACACGACGTGCGATCAGCTGCCCCGTCCTGGCATCTTAAAGACACCGTGAGTTTTAGTGAACCTTCTTTGCCTAACATGAACATACTTACCCACACCAGGTTAAAATAAACCAAAAACCTGCTCAGATAGGTTCAGCGATGTGCACAACTGTTCTTTACGCTTAGGAGAGATGTTAGAAAACCACTCTGACAAATGCTGTGTGAAGTTTCACACACAGATTCATCCTGGACAATCTCCCAAGAATTAAAACTCTGAAGTCCCACAAAAAGTCCTTGAGTGACTGGAATATTTAAAAAAAAAAAAAAGTTTAAGAAATGCTTTTCTAATCATTAGCTTTAGCTCCAGCGGTTGGTTTTGCGCCCCAAACAGAGCATGATACGGGTGGGCGTTACTGTTACTTGCACGACTGGAAGCCTGGCCCGGCAGAGCTCAGTGTCTGACAGCTAAGCTGAACCATCCCGAGCCCTTAATCCAAACCGCATGTGCCGAATTCCAACAGGCAGTCCGCTGGGTCAAGGGCATTCCCCTTCCATCAGCGCCCTCGCACTCACAACCTTCCCCACAGAAACAGTTGCTGAAACAACCGTTCATGTGACGAAGTAAAGGGCTGCCGGCTACGTTTGACACCACTTATAACACAAAGGTCAGTTTAATAGAATCTGAACACTAAAGTCGCATGCAGTACACAGGTAGAAAACCAAACAAGATTACAAAGGGATGTGTTCGTTTCACGGCGTTTCATTTGCCCATCTCATTATTTATCAGCACTAAGTACTTATCTTCATCTAATATGAATTCAATTAGTTCCGTAAGCATGTTCCATTATTCATGTGATAGCTCCAGCCTTGCTTATCCAACAGCTTATAAACTTTTAGCCTTCTTTGAAGTCACTTTATGGATTGCTAAATGGAAATCTTATAAAGAATGACTAACTAGGTGATGATAGAAAAGCTGAAAAATCAGGGAACAAAACACAGCTCTCTATTTTCCACCAAGATTTTTCCCTCATAAATCAGCTGGAGCCCTCTGACCTATAACAGGAGATTATCTTATCTCACTGGAGAACATTTCAGTCACAGCAAATTAGATTTAACAGTCAATGGATATGCTTGATATTTTAATCATAAGAAAAATTTGTCATTTTCCATTAAAATAACTGCTGCTTCTACAGAGTCCCCGTGTAACACGGGAAACTGCAAACTAACTGTACGCAGTGGGTTGGCAAAAGTCTTTTGAGGTGAGAGATAGGGTGTATTTTGTTTAAAATCATTAACATTTCTACTGTATTTCTTGCAGAGGACCCATTCCAAGATAGGGCCAGCGAAACCCCACAGAAACAACGCTAAAGCTAGACAGTATTTTGTTCCCTCCATTCCAAAGTCACCCTCCCCTTTACGCCGCAGTTTTCTCTGCGCAAGTTTAAGGCTTCCACCAACAGCTCTGACAAATTCGGCAATTGGAGCTGCTGGAGCAGAACCGTGAGCCTACAGAGAACTGCAGTTACCCCCCTGGGGCTCTACGGTAGCGGAGAGTCCACCTGCCCTAACTTCCAATAGACCGGGGAATTAATCCCATAGCCTGAAACTGGAACACGTGGATTAACAAAACACTTCTAAAGATCTATTTGCTGAAATTTCAGCTTTTAAAGAAAAATGAATACTGAATAATGACAGTAGGTTTTGGCTGTAGTTTATAAAATTATTTTCATATGGAAAAATAAACACGTTGCATTTTTAAAAACATGCAACTTCTGGGTCGTGAGAAAAAAATTTCTGTTGCTACTAAGTTGTTATGCTAACAAATAAACCACACATTTTTATACCTACACATCAAGAACAGAACAAAGAGACTAAGCTTTCAGCATCAAAACCAGGAAAAGAGGTAAACTAGGATTTGCCTAGCTCATTTGACAAATGTCACCTTTCCTTAGCCCAAGGCACAGAGAAATTATGCAGCACTTGCCAACAGACAGCTACAATAGCCCACTGCGTGATTTCGTTTTCATTCTGAGTGGAGAAAGCACAGTGAACTGGAAGAGGCATTTCTATCTGGAAGTATTCAATTCATCCCTAAGCAGAGGGAGAAGACAGTTTGGTTTATTTATTTAATTTATTTCATAAGGCACTTTGAATAACTGTACTTTGCCAAAGTGTGTCTGCGTTCCAGAATCTCCGGCTATTCAAAAGCCATACTGGATTTAGTACTAAACAGATTTTTTCACAAGTTACTAAAACGGATGAAAATTGGCTTCTCCAAGAACAACTCCTTTTTTGAGTTTTTGCAGATGGAGTTTGGAAGGCCTACAGAGCCCTGCAATCTGAGGAGCTCAGACAAAGAAGAGGTAATGGGTTTATGTAGCAAGGCAGGAGTGAGACACCATGCAAAGCAACTCCAAGGCGTAATTAGTAATTTCTTCTCTACACCCATTGCCAGGCTAAGCACACAGCTTTTTGTGAGCAGAAATACGGTGCAAGCTGACAAGTGTGTGTACTGAGGTATTATCCAACCTCTACCATGTCTCCTCCTTCTTTTTCACATACATAGATACCATAATAAGCATGCCAATGATCACCTGGTACGGATACGGGGCAGAAAGTTTCTTGATCAATACGCAAAACATAGGCTAGACTATTTCTTCCTAGATTTTACTTCAGTTCTGTCAAGGGGAATTACCAGAAACATCCCCCAGTATCAGCATGTGATGTGCAAACAAACGTGCATGTTGACTTTCAAAATAATTGCATATTCACTAACGCATTGTCCTGCAATTCTGTACTTTATTTAGCAATATAAAGGCCATAAAAAGCATCTGTACCCAGGATGAGAAGGAAGAAGAAAAAAATCCTGCATATTCCATCTAGCTGCTCTCAAAAAAGTTCTGAACTTATTACACACTAATGCTGGAAAAAGGGGGAAGTTACACTCATGGTAGTCTAAGCACAGAGGATCATTATGAGCTACATAAGCCCCAGTGAAAGAATACACTTGATCAATATTCCCAGAGAAATTACACTTTTTTTAGAGAGAATTTAAGCTGAAATATTCTGGTAATATATATTTTTGTGTGAAGTAAAACTCAGCTTTCTAAGTTGTTATTTATCCTAAACACCAAGCCTTCATCTCCAAACACAGGTATCTAAACCAGGGACACGAGTCAATTAACTTTGAGGGGGCATTTGCAACTCCCACCAGTTCAACAGTGCCTGCTAATTTAAGAGCCTACAAAGAGGCAATGCGTTCTGGGCAGGAATAAATACCTCTTCCCACATGGAGCACATACACGTTGTTCAGACTTCCTGTGTAAAGGGGCACAATTAATAAGGACTAGGATTTTCATAGGGATCTAAATTAATAGCTTATGTTGTCCTCCAGATACTTTTGAGGAAAGTCATCCACTGTTTCACCAGTACTGGAACCGAAAGCAAATGTGCCATTTCCACTTTTAGAGTTTTTAAAAAGTCAAATGAATTACTCTGAATTGTTTATATGTGAAGCTTTCTGTGAGGGCTGGTTTTCTGCCAGCTTTGTGTTAACATTAACAGCAAGTTCCTTCTTTTCAGATCTTTCGAACATTAAAAAAATTACAATCTGTCTGCAAAAGCCTGAAAGAGAACTGTAACTGTCAACATTTTGGTTTAATACCGACTCTGCCTTTGTGAATACAGAGTCAAATGAAGGCAGTAAACTGATTAAATGAAGCAACAGGATGGAGAGGGGAGCACAACGTGAGCCTGGCGCTGACTGCTGAACTGCAAACAGCAAGTACAAGGTAGCAAATAGGACCCCCTTAAGATTTAACATTATTCATGTATGCTTAGCTCCAATTCTCTCAGCACTCCCAAATTAACAGGATTATTTCACTTTTAAGCATATGAATGAATGTATAATTGCTTGCAGAATTTGGCTCTAAATCATAAAACTATATATAGTTACAGAAAGGGTGAGAAAGACTTACCTCCATCAAGCTTAAATGTATTCCAATGAGGTAGGGCATGGGGGCACTGCAAAGAGGAAAAAAACCTAGTTTTACATTCTCAGAACAGCGGATTAGCACATAGAACTTATAAAATTAGCTACAGGAAAATACCAGGATACTGGATTAGATTTTGCTTAAGAAAAATAACACATATAAAAAAACCAAGCCACATGTGAACAAAATTTTGTTCCATATTTGAAAGACTTTTTTTACTATGCAATATCCTCTCACTACTGTAAGACTTTAATTTTTTTTGACACCAGAATTTCTAAGTGACTAAGTCAAGGCAGGTACAAAAGGACAGTTACTAAACACATCTGTAACACTGGTTTTTTTTTTTTAAGAAAAACAAACCAGGTGTGTTATTGCAATAACAACAGAGCTTTTCTAAGAGCATTCTATAGAACACTGATCGTGTTGTGGTGTTTGGTGGTTAATTTCATGTATACCTATCACCCGGTTCTACGAGTGTTAAATCCTTTCAATATGGGACCAGGCAGGTGTTAAATAATGTAAGTATAAAGCCTGAAACATTTACCTTTACAAAAGAAAAAGATCACAATTACATCTGAGGATTCTGATAAACTCCAGAGTCCCCAGGATGTAACACACCACTCTTCCCTTCAGAACACAAATCCACCGGGAGGTTTTTGGGCCCTGGCTGCAGGCTCAGACCAGGGGTGGCACTGCTCTTACCAACCTGCCCGCAAACATTTAAGAGAACGACTGATCTTTCCCATCTCCTCTCCCTTGATGTTAGCAAACACCAACATGGACCATATATCACGAGAAGAATACTGAATGGAAGTTGTATCTTGGTGTATACAGTATTTCTAATATTAAGCTGATTAGAGGACTCCCACTCAACTAATCAGGGAAAGCTTATATTTGCACTGCTTATTAGAACACATCAGAGAGGATGCCAAAGCTGCTAATTGCAAATATGGCATATACTGCCTGTTAAACGGAAAGCACACAGACAGACACAACTTTTAAAATAGAGCCTCATTTCATTTTGGATACAGAAGCTCAAAGAGCTCATTTTCAATTTCAGATGAAAAAAAATGAGAGAAATGTCACTGTACTCCCTTGGATTAAAATATCTTCCATATTGCTTTTATAAACTGCCTACTGCTCAGTAAGAGAAGTACGGTGCTGAAAAAACTACTGCAAGACACCAGACCAGCAAAAGTCACTCTGCTTCTCATTTTCATGAGAGGTACCTTTTAAAAAAAATGTATTTACTGATATGTATGTCAATATTTATCATGTTTATTAATACACCCCCTGAAATTGCTGCTCTGTTGGATGCTGGGACACAGCCTCTGGATTAAACATTCTACACAAAAGCACTTTTTTTCCTTTCTGAAGACATTAAATACATATAACTTCACAACCCCCTTACAGGTTCACTGTAGGACACCGAAGTGCCATGTACCACATTACATTCCGACCTACTGAGCCACGGAGGCCGGCAAGAACGCCCTGCGCAAGCTTCACCCAGCACGGCACCGTATGACAGACAGCCCAGAGGGACTGTTACATCAGCAACTAACCCGTGCAAACCCTGGAGGTTCTGCTTCCTTGGGAATTCCACAGATGAGAACCAGAACACATATCCAAGTTCCTGGACAGAAATTTTTACCATACAACATGATACACACTTATTACATATGGATTGCTGCTCAACTGAGTATTTTTATTTGTCATTTTGCATGTTTTATTTGTGACAAACGCTATCTCTTTCACCCACATCTCTTCATTTCCAATGGCCGCATTCCAGAAGCAAGAAAATACCCAGTAATTTTACATTCAAAGTATAAACCATTGGTTTAGCTGCCAGCTGCACAAATGCTCAACTTCCCCGTGTGCCTGGCTTTGCTGCTCAAGACTCCTCCAGTACGCACTGAAATGAATGTGTTTCTAATTAAGTAGTTTCATGAACACGACAGCTTCAATCTCAAAAATACAAAGTCTGAACCTCGGCAGGAAGTCTTAAGACTGCAAATGTCTCATCTAGTGGAACCTTGGCTAATGTAATGAAAGGAAGCAGGAAGAGTGCAGTATTCCAGAAAACCAGCCATTTATTAACATGTCCAAAAGTAGAGTCTGTCACCCAGCACAGGAAAATCCGAACCTGTAAAAGTTAATTAACTGTATCGTGGCCATCTTTCAATCCTCCAGTTTATCAACAAAAGAATAATAAAAGTGCCTAAGCCCTTAAAACCACGCACGTGCAGTAAGATGCTAAGGAATTACAGGAAAGATATAACTTTGGATATGGATCAGCTTTGGATGCAATGAATCATCTTTCCAGTTTTCTAGTGACAGGCATTACATGGAAAGGCAATCCAGCATATGAAGCTATTACAGGGATGGCCTAAAGGCTACAGCAACCTGACTTTTAGCAGTGCTATTTCTGTTATTGCTTTAAACTCGCACTACTAACCATTAAAGGACCCGGTCAGGTGCTTAATGGGCTGTACAGCACATACACTTGGGCAGACAGGAGAAAGCAGGAGGAACAATTTGATACTATAGAGTGGTTTTAGCACACCCACCGGCACAAAAAATAGCTCAGGTTTTGTTGATCGGTAGGAAAAAGGAAACTTTGAAGCAGGAATTTGCGAAAATATAACGTGCTCGTTTCGCAAAGGTGTGTTAGCTTTCACGTAGCTACAGAGATTTGCATAGGGGATGAGGCAGAGAGCAGGAGAAAACACTGAGTATTTCTTTGAGAAACAGAAACATATGGGGGAAAACTGGATGACGGGGCCCTGGGACATGGCACCGGAGCACAGCATGACAGGCAGAGCAGGTACAGGCCACGAAGGGCTCTGGAAGATGCTTGATGCAGAAGAGAAGATGAAGAAAGTGAAAGGTAAATGAAGAAGGTTGACAAAACCATATGAAAATAATTCCTGTAAGAACTTTTCCCCATGTATAAGCAATTGCTTGGCTTACAGACATCAGCAGGGAAACACTGAAGGGTGAGAGCTTGGGCAAAGGCGCCTGGAGTTACACGGATGAAGAAAAAAGGCCAAATTTAGACACGAAGCAGAAGAAACAAACACCATTTCGAAATGGAATAGATCTGAAGCCTAATAAAGAATTTCCAAGTTATGGGAATACATGAAAAGGAATTAACTCTGTTTTACCCCCAGAAGCCATTGCTGGCAGTGACTGAAAGACACCAAGGAGGGATGACACATGGGAGGCTTCTACAAACGTCCCAGCAGAGAATCAAGGGAAACGAATGTAGGTTTAGGTTTGTGTGAAAGGTGATGGTTGCAGAGAAAAGCAGATCGGTGATGCATCCAGGGAGCACTTGTATTTGAAGGTGCATTTGTGTTACGTTTGTTTTTTCAGATCTGCTTAAAAATAACCATTACTGTTCATCACCCAAACTTGGGCCTTGAAGTGTTTTCTCCACGGATAACAAAAATCAAATTATTTGAATACCTATTTTATCAAAATCCATTTTATTTGTGAGAACTGATATTATTGTTCAATGACACAGGAACAGCAAAGCAAAAGCAAAGATATTTCCTGGGTAATTCACCATGACAGCTCCTAATACTCCTAAAAGTTCAACTAGCAAACGTCATAAATAACTTCAATAAAATACTTCTGGTAAAGAGTATAAATATTGCCAATAAAATCTACCAGAGAGATTGTATTCTTCTGTCACAACTCCTCAATCTGACTGAAAAGGAAACACACCTAAAAGTCAATGTTGAAGGTTCATGGCAGGCTGCATAAACTGCTTTTATCACCCCTTTTCTTTATCATGTGTTAATCAGATGCCATTACTTAAATACTCAGCTACCATCCTGTGCAAGGGAACACTGTGTGCCTCCTCTTCCCCATGCAGAGCACACGCTAACAGTCCTTCCAAACTGCTATTCAGGTCCTGAGACATGAAACGCTCAAGCAGTTTTTAATATTTTATCAGGTTAGATGTGTATTTCCAAGACTTTGAAGTGAAGTTCACTAAGACACATTGCTTGTATAAACAGGAGAAACACCCCGAACAACCTTTAATCCTTCTGGGACCCGGGACAGATAAGACTGCCCTTCAGACCAGTCTTTACCTGCTGCTTGACACTTCATCAGTCCCGGGGCTTCTTACAATCACAACTACTAATTGCTCAAAGTTGTTTGATGGCAGCCAATATCCGTTAAGTGCAAAATTAAGAAGTATCAATTTCTACTGTGCATATTTACTGCTTAAACAAAATGCCTAAGTCTTTTGGAACAGAGAGAAAGGTTATTACTCCTCCTGTGCTACACTGGTTCCCAACGCAATCAGTGTTATTTATAATCAGATGAGTTATATAGGTAAATATCAAATCATTAAAGTAGCAGTGCATAAGCATGAATATGGATATTGTGGACTTAATGGCTGTATATTGCCCATTCATTACAGCTGCATTTTTACAATTTCTTTAATTCGTTTCCTTAGGCTAACTAGAGACCTCTTAATTATGCTCCCAAGAGGTGGGCAAGTGCTAATTGGAAGAGAAGCAGGTGAAATAGAGGGACATTTCCTCTTAAGTGAAGAAGAAAAAAAAAAAGTAAAATTACTACCCTTAAAAAATACTGCAATTCACTGGGAAAAGTCATGTAAAGCCCACGGATCTCGAAACATTCATAGTTTTCAGCTACACGGGGATTTGCACCATTTTGCTTCCTTGTTCCAGGAAAATTGATTAGATGACATTTACTAAGTTCATGTCCTGACACACATGTGCTGACTTCTGTGTCACACCAGCAGCACGCTACGGCTGCCTCATCTCTCTTCAGATTACTCATTGAAATGCAACAGAATCCAACCCAAAATTTATTGGGGTAATTGATGCAAATTAGAAACTTGACTGCATAAATGGGAACGATGCAGAAAACACACAGCTCAGAAATCAGACGAGCAACTACAAGAGCTTTTAGTGAGTACACAGATGGACCAGGCTAAATCGAAATGCCTACCAAGAGGCTCATGACGAAGGAATAATTGTTTCCCGAGCAGCAGGAGTACTCGCCCTCCCCTTACCCCCTCCACCTTCTTACAGGAGCATATTGAACTATATGCAGATTTAGAAAACAGGAGAAAAGAAGTTAAAAAAACTCCCGGAGAAAGGAAAAACTGCCCCAATAGGAACATTTGTTCGGCAGCTGTGCCAGGCTGCTCGAGGAAGGTGGCTCTCAGCATATATTAATGTTGGCTGCTGAGCAGTCTATCTAATATAAAAGGCTGGTTTAATCACCCTAGAAAATCTACTGTTGCCTCTGGTAAAAGCCCACAGAATAACCCAAGTGACAATGCTCTGGGACCTCGAGAACATACTGAGCTGTGTTACCAGGTCAGCAAAGACAGGCTTTTCTTGCTGGCTAATTTTAAACACAGACACTGAGAGCAAAAAGGAAGAAAACAGACACAGTGGGAGTGTTTTTATGCCACATGAAAAACAAACTGGAAGTAGTAGTGAGGAAAATTAATAGACTGGTTTTTTTTCACATCAAGAAATGTTTAAATTCCCAACAACAAAATAGATGGATGAGATCTGGCCAAATTTAAGTGGTTGCATGTGCTTGGCTACTGATGCTTGGTGGCAGTATCTCTTTAACCAGTATTTTCGGCACCTGCTGGCATGAACATTTTTTTCTTTTAAAAAAAACGAACCACAAAGCCACCATCAGTACTTCATATGTGTCCTCATGTATTCAAAGGAACAAGCAATTGTGCATTAAGGCGTGAAACGTAACAGTAGGATCCCCACCAATTTCTAGTCTCCTCCACCCAAAATCTGCAATAGGGATCAGATGGCTAAAGCCCTTCCAGCCCCATGTACCTGGTATTCCAGCACTATTGTTGGCTCAGTACAAAGAGCAGTGTATCCAGAACAAACGTCTTGAAGCTGTAGGCTTTTGGCAGTTTCTATTCTGTGGTTAGGTACGTGAATGAGGAATGCAGGTCAACATAAACAATGTGTTTTAAAATCCTTTCAAGAGGGAAATGGGAAGAATGGGAATTACCCACCTTCCGCTTGCTAAGTTAAAAATTGACAGAGCAAACTGGAAAAAAAAAAAAGAGAAAGCACAGCGTTTCAAAGTCCTTGGTGTAAAATGTCAATAAAGGACAAAATGCTACAGAAAAACTTGAGCTGTAACAACAGTGAAACAGACTCATACTGAGCATGGTGGTGGGGCTGCCATTCACTTGTAACAATATCCGATCACCCACCTTTTCCTGCACATTTCTCTCAACAGCTACAGGGAACTCCCCACACCAAGCCTTAAGCTTCTCTCATGCCAAGTTGGCCAAAAGGATCTTCAAGCAGCAGGAGAGTTACTTCACCCGTTTGCCCTCTGCCAAGAGAGCTGTTCTACCTTTTTGTAGCTCTGGAAAGATCCAGTAATTGTTGTGTCCCTCTTCCATCCCCAGGAAATGCAACATCTTTCAAATTTCCCAACCATGGGGCTGTCAGTCTATTAGTCAGGACATTAGAACTTTCCTTTTCATGAGAAGTTGCCACTGCAACTCGGACGATTAAAAGCAAATAGTCACAGGTGGAATATATCTTCTTCCAAAACTTTCTAAGATGACCAGTAACAGAGTCTACATACCCCCTGGGGTTTTCAAAAGAGCAGGAGAAGACTCAAAAGCGTCACACAGCCCAGTCAATAACTGGACACGGTCAATTGCACAAACATGGCATTTGGTATTCATAAGAACTGAAGAATTCTCATTATCATCATTTTGCTTCCATTTCAGTTCTTTAAAATTCTTAACCAGTCAATAATTTAAATTATTTTAAAATCTTATTTAAAATAATCTTGGGTCATTTCTCTTAGGAGGCAGACACCAATAAGCAATAATACCACCTTAAAGCAGAGAGCACGGAACTGATTTCTCAGTTCTCCCAGGCGAAAATGACGTCTCTAAGTTCACATGGTTACAAAATAGATGGACTCTATTTTGAGAAATATATTTATGGCACATAAATTGTTGCTAAATTGACTTATTCAATCAATTGTGGTGTGTGTAGCTACCTCTCCAATTAAAGTTCGTATCTGGCATGAGTAATCAGTTGTTGTATTTGGGAGCATGCAATTGCAATCTGCCCAACAATTACACGTTTTGAAATCATACTTTTCACGCACTAGCTGGCTCATTCGTTATATGGACAGGGTGTTACGCCATGAAAGAATTCATTCAGTGGAGCTCAATGACTTGTGGCTTTATTTCCTTGGGTACACTGCCCAAGTGTTTGCTTTTTGCACACCTCTGCTCCCAACCGCGGGATCTGGACTTAGCCCCTTTTAACATGTCTTTGTCAGAAAGTCGATGAATACCTAATCTTCCAACCCAGCGTAAAAGCCTCTTGTGGTCCACAGCGTTGTCCTGAGAACTCCTAGCAGCGTGTACCTGAAGAAAAGGCTGGCAGCAGTAGCCTGCATGTGTTAATTACCCATGGAAGCCCATTATGCAGAGAAAGGGCACCCGCTGGCAGTGCAAATGACTGGGATCTGCCCTTCCTGTGCTGCGAGGAAATTGAAGGTTCATTTCTACAGGAGATAATAGTTTTTAGATTCCGTTCCGTGTATCCTCCACACAGGCACATACTTAACATTTAAATCATCTGCAGAGAAACAAGCTGCCTTTAAATCTCCATGTTTCAGTTCCTAGCACTTCACTTAAAAATGCTCGTTACCCCCGCTGGTTCCTTAGTCTTGCCTGAATGCAGAGAAAACAGCACACAGAACACGTGCTCTGAAAAACATCAGCCAACCTCCACGCCAAGGCCCACACTTAAAATACGGGATCGTAGGGCACTGTAAGATGAAGTGTGTTTTTTCCTGAGAAGGACTTTTTAAAATGCTGGGGCGCAGAGGGAGGCGGCTTCTATGTTTTCAACTTTCAACACCGCACTCCCACAAACATTGCTGATACACAGGGAGACCCGGAAGGCTGCAGGAAAGACAAAGGCATCAAGTCCTTCAGCCTTTTCTGTCCCCTTCATCACTTGACTACGTGACCACTCAACAGCAGGTCCACGTTTTCCTTGTGCTTCCAAACTATTAACCACAGGGTCCAAGACATACACCTAACAACATGCTGATCTGCAGACTCAGAGTGAATAAGGAGACTTTGGCACCTGGACAGTGTGGAATCCTAAAATAGGTTGGAAAGAACCTCAAGAGGGCACCTGGTCCATGCTCCTGGTCAAACAGGGCCAGCTTTGACATTACAGCAGGTTGCTCGTGGGCTGTGCCAAGATTTGTCATATTACGATAACGAATATGTTTCAGAAAGGTGGTTACTTGCTAACTGGGGCTAAGCCACGACAAAAGGTTTATATTTATTCACCTAAATAAGGTAAATATGTTCTAAACACACATCAGTAATAAAAGATCACCGCAGGAAAATTAACAGCGTTCCCCCACCCCCAGTAAGTTCAGGAAAGCAGAAAAATGAACGTTATCTTCTCCACTGTATCCTCTACTGGAGTCTTAATTCACATTTTAACATTTAACACAGATATGTTGAAGACAGACTTTAATTACACAATATCTAAGTTGCAGCATTCCATAGTAACCACTCATATTAGAGTATTTCAACATACTGATAGACAATTATATCTTGCCATCAAAATACATTTTTTTTACTTACTAGGTTGGTGCTTCCTTAATACGCCCGTGTATTTTTAGAGTACCAGTTGCACCATAAGAGGACTTAAGACTTACTGTACAGAAATGTGAACACTGTTGTGAATCTAAGTGATATATATACACATATATGATATATATACATACATACATATATATAGCCTTACCAACAGTAGTCCAATAGATGTGGGGGCAGAACAGGGATGTAAACGTGCTGCCAGAACATCGGGTAGAGCATAGCTGCGGACCCATGAATGCAGGCAGTTAACTGAAAAACACACATAAGAACAGGATCATAAATAAGACAAAACCCAAGCTTAAAAAGGTCAGGTTAGAAGGAAAAAAGTAAAGAATCCATTCTGCTTTCATAGCAACATGCTTTATTAAAAAATATACAGTGCTCTTGTTAAAAGAAAGGTATTGGTGGATGAAGCATGACTGGTTTATGGTGGTTGTCATTCGATCGACTCTGTAAACAGCTGAGAACATGATTCATTCAACAAACCAAACCTGCAAAGAACACCCAGCGTGCTGTAAACCAACAGAAACGTGGAAATGAAAACACAAAGGGAATTAAAAAATAGTAAAGGCAAATTCCCCAATCCTGGTAATTACCATTCATTAAATATCGTAAAACGGCACTGAAATCACAGCACAAACTGAAAAAATACTTCAGCTCAAGAAGATACGATGTGAGTGCCAAATGTTTCCTAAGAATGTATCATACTCAACACAGCGATGAAATCTTTAGTATTTAAAAGGGGTTTTTATCTAATTGCCCTTCACCAAATCATTGGATCCACTGAATTTCTCTGTTACAGTTTTAAAACTCATTGAGAATAGTTTTGCTGTGGACAGGTACTGAATGAAGAAGATCACGAAGAGCAAACAACTGCCAGTCAAGCGGTGGGGAGAAACCTCACGGAGCTTTGGAGGAAATCACGTGTCTCAGCCCTAGTTCAAACGATAATTAATAATTTGGAAAAGAATATTTGTCACATTCACTAAGGATATTAAAACGGAGAAGGTGGTAATCCTCAATAAGGAAATCTCGGCACGAGCTGTAGTCAAAATGCCGTAGAAGAGGATATGAACACACACCCACCCCAGGGAACAGAAAATAAATAACTAAATCAGAACACCCCTACAGATAGACACATAAGGAAAAGACAAGGAGTTGACAGGCAGTCACATCCCCCTGACAGTGTTTTGCAGCTTAGAGTGTCTTTTAATCTCAACTGATGCCCAGCACAAGTACTACATCGTGTTTCACTTGTAAGACGCATTTTGAAACCAATACTCAGCAAAAGCTTACCAGTTGTTGGAAGGTACAAGGAAATCAAGCATATAATGCCTGTCTGGGCAACAGGAAGGAGGGAGAACACTGCTTACAAATACTGAAAAGACAAATTCTAAAGGACTGAGGTCCTGTGGTGGCCTGAAGTTGAGCGAGATGAAACGAAGCAAAGACAAATTGTGACATTAATCTCAATGCACTTAGATGTGGTGTATCCTTAACCAAAAAAAAAGACCCTCATTATTATTAATTTCCATTACGACAGACTACTGAATTATGTACCTCTTGTAGGGAACCCACCACTGGTAAAGTAAACAGCTAGATGAGCTAATCCCATCTCCCAAATCTCCATGTCAGGGAAAATCAGCTGCACCGCTGGATGTAGTTTGACATGTTCAACACTAAAGCCTTTATGCAATGCCAGTGCCGTTTCTGTAACAACAGAACCTGCTTTTCTGATTAAAATGCAGGTCATCAGGCAAGAAGATGGAAGACAGGTACAAATCTTGTGTTATTTTTAAGCCTCTGAACAATACAGATCCCTGGTCTCCCAGCATCCTGTCCAACAGCGGTCAACACGAATTATTAAAACCAATGATCAACACATTCACCAATAAAATTGGTGTTCCCTGTTTTCTCAGTCCCCACCAGCTCGCAGCTCACACTTCAGGTGCCAACGAATTCAAAAACAAACACTGAAAAGTGCTGCCCCATCTCTTTATGAGCCTATTCCCTCACAGCTTTAATGTGTGCTCAGAGTTTTGAACATTTGGAGTCAATAAATTAAACAAAAATCATCTCCTACTTACATTCTGAAGAGCCACACATGATTTTATATATTGCCATCAAGTTCCCTACTGCCTTAGTATCTTCACCAGGCTGAGTGAAGAGCTGTAATCTACTCTGCTTTCCCTAACTGAGAGATTATTTTGCATATTTGCTTGTTCTTGTTACCCTTCTCTGTACTTTTCACTGGTTTACTTTATCATTTTTCATTTGGAATAGATAAGAACTCATGGAATAATCACAATGTGGGCAAACCATGAACATATCTAGTGGCATTATGCCCTCGTTTTTGTTCTCTACTCCATTCATAATAATATCTTGGCTTCTAAGCCTTCAAGTGAGTAATAAGCTGGCATGTTCATAGATGGAGCTCTCTCACAAAAAACCCCAAACCCCCAGTATCTCTTTCTGAGTGGTAATACCTGCTTCGGCTATTCGGACCATGATTGCTTAATGTGGTTCAAAGTGTTTTCTCCACGAGCATAATTCTATACGTATCCACACTAAGCAACAAAATGACTTCTACATTTTCTGCCCTTTTTAAAGCTGGTGTTTCATGAGGACATTGATCAGGCTGCAGAACAGGGCACCAGTGGGACTGCTCAGCAACTTCCAGTCTTAGGAGAACTGATAACTTTTCTCATCTATTTTCCCGCAACCTTTTTGCTGGTTGTTTACCCTCAAGAGGATCAAAATCTCCTATGCCATGAAAATTTCTTTAACAGCTTTGAAGAACTCAATTTTGTTCAATTTTATCTAGATTTATAAAGATTTTTAAGATTTGAGGCATGGATTTCTTTTGCAGAGGTCACATTTACTCTTCCCCAGTAGCTTTTGTTTACGCACTCACCAGTTCTAGTCCTTTTTTGTGACAGGTTTCAAGTTTTTTCATAGCAATATAGCTCATAGTTTCTTTAAGGGAGAATGCTCTCACACCCACCTTTCAGCTCCAAATATAAATTTCTGAAATCAGATCTTATTCTTCAGATTCAAATCCTTTCTTGTGTTTCTGTTTCCAGAGTCTATTTTGAGCGTACTTCCTTCAGACTTCAGCAGCTGCATTTTGGTGTACAGCAGTGAAGCTGCTCTACGCAGAAAGTTGCTCGCTACTGTCCAGTTGTCCCACCTACCAGGATTGCAACAGAATCTGTTTGCATCCCTAGTTTCTGTCTTTCTCTTATGTCCATCCCTTGGCCTACATTCTTTGCCAATTCTCCACCACACAGAACGATAGATGATTTGGCCAAAATTTTCTTGAGTTAGTGACATTCATCTGCACAAACAGGACTGTTTCATCTCTATTCATCTTAACACCCACTTCAGCATCTCCAGTTTCATTAAACTCTCTCCTCAAATACTGATAAAATCCAGAGGCAGAGTCTTGTCTGACCCTCTTAATCTCCCTTAGACTTTCCCTTGTCTCCCATGAAAACTACAGTCACTCCTCGCCTTAGCACTGCTTGATCTGGCAAGTGTCATGACAAGGGGGCCCACAAAACTCAAAAGCATCCCTGAGTTGATAATGTGCTTCCATGAGGGAGGATATAGAAGAGTTTAAAGTAGATTTGAGACACCATCCTAAGGAAATAGTGTCTTTGGAAGCAGACAGGGCACAGCAAGTATTTGAACAAGTACCTGTCCAGTCTTTACAATAAGAAAGCTCTTTAGTGGCAGAGGAATATTATTTTATGATCCATATGGGAGGGAAATTCTAGTATGTTGGCACACTAATTAAAGCAAAACTTAAAAGCCACAAAATCTTGAAGTTATTCTATATTTATGACTCACAGAACACCAAAGATTCATCCCTATCCCATTACATTGCAACTTATCTTTATGTTATTCCTACTGGAGAAGATGCTACTCTCTCACAGATTAGAGAAAAGGCACAGCCTAGTTCCCAAATATGCAGCAGACAAAAAGGGCATGCTTTCCCACTGCAGTTTTCCCACTATATTCCTAAATCCTTTATGCCTTCTGGTTTTGTTCTCCAAATCACAGAGATATGGAATAAACCCTATTTAAAAATTTAATTCTTACTTAAAAATTGCTTCCATGAGGATCAAATGGATTACTTGCTGGCATTCCGGTATAACATGTCTGCTGCTGCAGAGGAGTGAACTCAGTAATCCAAGGAGGGTCCTCCAAGCCCCCCTCCCACTGGTTTTAAAACTCAGCAAGAAAAGATTAAACAGACATAATGCTCAACACTGCAGACATCTGAGCAGAACCTGTCACTTATTTTTGAGATGTACTCCCACCTTGCTACCTGGCATGAATTCAAATCACATAGTACCATGGGTAAGCACCAGTACTGTCCTTCAACTCTGCCAAGATAAGGGTTCATAAAAAAGAAATGGCATATTTGCTGGAGACCTCACCTGATTAGCGATTGCCATACAGAAAACAAGCACTTAATAATAAGGCAGCCTGAGAAATGCCCAACTGTCAAGACTACAGGAATCCAGCATTTTGAAATCACATTAGTTCCAGTACCTCAGCTTCCTGCAGCTGTTGCTAGAGAATGTAAAAAGACAGCTAAGAAAGACACCGATTCACTAATTCACTTTGCGCAGTTTTATATTTAATAGTCTAAAAGCCTTATTTAAGGAAAATAAATCAATGGGATTTTGGCACACATAAAAATTATAAACTGATGTTGAACTACAATAAGCCATTTTCCTGTGCATTTTACTCTCTCTCTCCTGATGCGTATACACTGCGCAGTTTTACAGATGCAGTACGTGGCTACAATGTGCCATATATACCAGAAAAAAATTGCCACCTTTGGAGCTCTTGCAAGCTCTCAGCTGCCAGGAAGAAAAGAGTATCCATGTCAGAATGGCATTCCTTGCTTTCTACTAACACTGAAAAAATTACAGAAAAATTAAGTAAAGAAATTCACCTCGGTATGATGGAGCTGAACAGAAACATCACAGAAAGTCACAAGTTTAAGGCTTTTAAGGGTCATCGGGCTTCCCGTTAGCCACCTTTTTATAATGAGAGACAACCCGCTGCTGCCCTTACCACAAGTAGTTCATGTGCCTTGTTGAGGCCGGGCTGCACGGGCAAGTTGGGATGGGAGAGACTGTGGGATGCAAGGAAAGCCTCTGTCGGCTTTGCTCCAGCAAGCTCCCACCAGCAGGCCATCTTTTGCCAAGCACAGGTTTTTATGGATTTTGGTTCCAATCTGGGTTTGCATGAGTAGTACATCAAGAAATTCAACACGAATAACTGCTTTAGAATTTTGAGAAATTATTTGAGTTTCCTTTTGTAGGAAAAAAATGAAAAATGAAGCAAGACGAGAGCAGTAATTCTTGCATAGGCTCAGCACACATGGTTTATGACAGAGGTTATATCTTTTTCAACTTAACTATATTAAGGATAGTTCAAATCCAAATTTGAATTCGATATGAGTTATTACAGCACAGAATTCATCCCACCGTGAAAGACTCTATGCTGGACTGTTTCATTTCCTCTCTCTCAGCAGATACTAAATTCAAGCCTAAAGTACGAAGTGTGCCACGTCTCTCGAAGTTAAAAGAAATTAACTGCAAATAGGTCCCTTCCACTTTTTTGTTCAAAAAATAAAAACTAAAAACAAAGAAACCAATCCCCCTCACCGTCACACCACCCTCACTTTACTTTGAGAATTCTCAGTTTGGTACGTTTCCAGTTACAAGGTCTTGGCTTCCGCTGAGCACAGTTTGAAATAAAATAATGCAGCTTGTTCCTACTGCTGGAACACGCAGAGCAGAGCGTGCAGGCAAGGCATCGCTGGCTCCAGCCCAACACTTCAAACCTGTCTTACACTGTCACTCCAAGCTTGGAGCAGTTTATATATAAAGTCGTAAGCTAAGAACACACAGTATGAATACCCCTCCCTACTGAAGGACCAGACATGCTTTTATCTTGGACAGAGGCAAAAGGAAGAGGAATAGCAGAAAGATAGGAAGGAAAACACAACCCTACTTGTGAATTGGCTCATTAAGGAAGGCAAAGTGACAGGTAAGTAATTCTTCTTCCCAGGCTCTGTCACAAAGGGAGAGATTAAACCAACCAACCACACCGATTTTGAGATGCTTTGGGTGGCCATTCTCTTCTTTACTCCTCTCTGATAATTTACTGCTCTTCTCATTCTTTAGGTGTCTGAAATAAACACCTCTCTCATTCTATTCAATTGCCAGGCCTGGATGTATTTTTGTTTATTTGAGTAGGAAGGACATGGAAGACCTGGCAGTTATAAAAGTTAAGATTTCACGAGTTTTCTATGATATTAAACAAATTCTTTCAGTTAAATGTGGGATTGCTTGTAAACATTTAATCATTATTAATAGGCCCCAGAGATGATTCTAACTCTCCCAGCTGCACTTACCTTTCAAAATGATACTATACAGTTACTCTGAGATTAAGCATAAAGTCTTCCTCTCACTTTTCTGCCCTGTATCAACAGACCATTCTGACATGATTTTATGTACATAATTTCAGCCTTCTACAGTATTTACAATTCCATGAAGCAGTTTTAATCTCAAACATGAAGTAGGTCACGGTCATACAGTAAGAGACCAGTTAATACCACACAAAATGGAAATGGAAGCTTGTACTTTAGAAAGGACCGCTCGAGTACTTACTCCATAGCACTAGAAAGCAAAATTAGTTAAACCATCTTATGCAGGTCATTCATAAGGGAAAGCAATCAATACCCATTTACAGAGCAAACAGAATGAAAACTTAACATTTTCTTTTGTAAGGAAAATCACAATCTTATTGACTGATAAACCTTGAAATGCATAACACAAAACTTTGAACTAAATCAAGCTGTGTGCTTGTTTTGATGTCCAGCCATTTTTAGGAGAGAGTACTCCAGAGTATTCAGTAGCTTTCATCTCTCAGACCCTTGATGGAGCCTAAGTAGCATTAACACTACACGTTATCAAACAAAACTGAGCAAATGTGGATTGTCAATGCATTTTAGCCCACTCCTTCAGTCCATCCAGAGAAGGTCACTGGAACATCCATTTGACAGTATCACTTACCTATGTTTTTTTCCTGTCAATAAATTATGAGAAAGGGACTTCACTACAGCGTAAGTGTTTGTATATATATGTGCCAAACAACCCCAAGAATTCCTGTATCCAAAAAAAAACCTTATTTATTTGAACATTAGTGGCCAACAGAAGTTGAGTAAAATCATCACATAAAACCACCGAGTTCCATAGCTGAGGTTGGAAGGGGGACCTCGACATCATCAGATCACTTCCCATTCACATGACTCTCATTTCAAAAACGAGACTGTGAATAGAAGAAATTATTCTGCATTTTACTTACAGTGCTCAGCTTACTACAGCAAATGAGGATGCGGCGTTCATACAGCATACTGGCATAGAGATGCAGCATGTTGTTGACATCAACTGCTACAAAATACTCTGTCAGATTTCTCTGGGAAAAAAGAAAATAATTTTTGATTTATGGTATTACCAAAACATGTGTCCTTAACAAAAAAACCCAAAAAAACCCCACACCACAGATTTCATCCTCCTATTACACTCCATCCAGTATGTGGCTTAACAAAAGAAAGCAGTATGTCATCTTACATCAGAGTACTTTCAAATTACCATACCCTTCCCCTAACTTTTGGGGAGCTAGGTCTTGGAATAATAAAATTGATGATGTTTCACATACAGTTTCTTAAATACAAGATACTTCTCAGAGAAAAAAGTATGTTCTGTCACTTTTACAGAAGCTTTAAAGCCGCCTGCTAAAGTACCAAGAAATCTTACAACCTCACAATAAAACCAGCTCTCATAGAGGACAATTCTAACATGACAAATTCAAACGTGTGCTCAGTCCATGCTAGAACAATTCTGATTGGAAAGACACATTTGGGCATTTAACAGCCAAGCTAAAGCTAGCAGCACAGGTCGTCCGAACTCCTCGCTCCACGCACTCAAACCTTTGCCTTTGGTGGAGAGAGAAAGCGCTTCCTTGGGGGCTGGGGAAACTGAGGAAGGAGACCAAGAATCCTCTCTCTCTGAAAATTTCAGTGGATGCCCATCTCTCATGAAGAGGCAGGATTCAAACATCCAATTTTACTTCATCCCTTTACTTGATCAGTACATCTGTACAGTACGAAGACAACTAATGGCAGCAGAATACTGCAAGCAGCACATCTGCAATCTGCCTTTAAAGCATAGCCAGAAACACCAAGACACAAGTGACACCACCAAATGTTTGCCCTCCCTAGGCAACACGGGTTTCTTCCATACTTCTGCTGCTTAGAATACGAAAAGTACCTGCGTAAAATTATTGTAACTAACTGAAATTCAAAAAGAAAATGGAGCAAGCTGCACGAGAGGCCGTGGCCACTTCATCCCATCAGCCAGCACCTTCATCCATCCATCCCTGCCACGGTAGCTGCCCCATGCACACGCTGCTGGGACATAAATCATGTACCGTTCACTAAATAATGAAGATGTCTTCTACCAAACAGCAGAATGTGATCCCAGGATCTTCACTATCGAAACCAGAAAGCCACCATGTAGGTAACGTGATCAAATGTACTGTGTTCTCCCCTAGAATGAGGGGTTTTTACAGTGCAAGGCAAACAAAAAAGGATTTGTGTTTGTACAGGATATTTTCACCTCTTCAATCACAGAAATCAAAAAAAGAAAAAAGAGAAGGGGCTGGTGAAGGAAAAGGTACTACACCCCAAAATGCTGAATTAGGGGATTTGTTTCCAAATAGCTTCCTACAGATATCAAAGGGTTGCTATACGATAAAGACAGTCTTACACAAAAAGTACATGCGAGAGCAAAATTAGATTAGTCATGAATTCAAGTGCAACCTTAATCATCGTTAAATAAAAAAGTGCAGAAAAGCAAAAAGTAAATACGATTTAGAAACTTAAAGCAGCTCAACAAAGCCTATTAGCACTTCTGACAGATCCAAAGATAACTCTAAACCCACCAATACTTGGCCTGAGAAGTCTGCCAAGATGCTTCATACTGTGCAGAAATATGTTCCGCAGCTTGCCATCCAAACACAAAGAACTGAGGAGGAATTCAGCATTGTATTTGGAAGACTCTTGTACCAGTACGTAGATAGACAAAAACTAAGCTGGTTATGGTTAGCCTCAAGCGTGTTAATACAAAACCATCTTTCAGGTCTTTGTTACAGAAAGCTACAGCCGCAGACAGGTAGATTCAACGGAGAAAAAAACCGCCAACACATTTTGCCAAAAACCTATTAAACTATCATGTACTTTTTCTGTATTTCTCATCCCATCTGTGCTGATTAGCATGATATTTTTGTCTAAACATAAGCTGTCTTCTCTACGGCTCTTCTTCCCCCTCTCACCCATCTTTCCACAACGCCAAAACACAGTGCATGACGACACAATTACTGCAAATAGTGTGAATTAAAAGAATTTTTAAGCAGCACTGAACTCCCTTTGATGACACCCAAATTAGGGGCATGGCACCAGGCACGCGAAATCCCTGCATTCTGCCTGAAGATGCAGAGACTCACGTGCATGGGTGTGTTTGCAAGGGAACAGTATCCACTGGCGAGAGGAAAATAGCCACAGGGACTTGATCTGCAATTACTCTCTCCTCGAGTTTATCGTAGCGAAGTACTGGCTTTGTCACACAAACGTACCTTCAGATGGGAAGATCTGTAAGGTTTTAGTCTTCTCTGCTCTCAGAAATTTGCCAGTGACACCTGTGAAGCATGTGGGCTGTATGGTAATGTATTGATACTAAGGAAATTCACGTGTTAGCTCGAAGTTTTATTTATAAGAAAGCTGTCATCTTTGAAGATGAAATTGGGACTTACACATGTATTTTGAAAGACATGTCTCGTAAGTGACAAAACCATGAATGAGTTAAATAAATATAAATGAAAGCGTTCCAATTTGCAGTATAATTGTTGTGTATTTAGTTTCCTATGATCTAAACCTTTCTCGGGAGAGTAAAAAGTGGGATTTTCAAAATAAAATGTGGGCACAGGTATCCCCAACTGCTCTCGAAACTCACTAAGATTGCTACAAAATTCCTTTGTGCTCCTCTGAAGGTTCATTCCTAGATCAATCATCTATTTGATCATTTGATATCTAATACCAGCAAATGCACATGCACGCTGACTTCTGAGATTTAAAACAAAAATCATGTATTTCTCTCCCTCCACCATCTGATGAGGAATTTCTCACTGAAGGAACCAACCAACAAGCTCTCTCCTCCGCGAAGAGCGAAGCTCATAGTAGCATGGATTATAGATCACTTAGTAGCATGGATTATAGTTCACTTATTTTAGGCTGCTCCTTAGTGGCTTCATTGAAATGACTTCAGTATAAATTCCTGCTCGAGCAGGTCAATAGAATTGAGCCAGGTTTCCACCTCCACCTTCCTACTAGAAATCCCTCATCTTATTTAAAAGTTTGTTTCCTTTGAAATATCACACGTGCAGGATCTAACGTGGGGCGGGTAATCTGCTATGCAGCTAACGCTCTTACAACAGCCATGCTGATGTTTGGGAGAACAAAATAATGAAGGCAATACACTTTATCAAATGGTGTAAATATAGAAATAATAATGGGAGGGGAGGGGAGTGGGTGTTAAGAAAAAACAGGTAGCAAAAGACTTGTCATAATGCGTGAAAAATCAGGCATTTTGAAATACAGGACTCAATAATACAAAAATAAACTACATCATCATCACCAAGGAAATGTAATCTCTGACTGCTAACTTAGCTGGTATTTCTGAAACACAACAGACACCACTAGGAAATTTAGCCTTGCACTCTATTCCCTGCAATGAACCCAATTTCGTTCCGAAGTCACACTGCATTCACAAATCTTCCATTAAATCTTTTGAAAATAGGGAACGCTCAGCTGTCACGGAAGTGCCCATGCTAAATGTTTTTGTGGCTCTTTAAACATATTGATCTGACACAAAGTCCGATAATTCCAAGAAGTTTGTTAACATTCCCAAGAGAGCCCTATGCAGCTCTCCATTAATCAGTACAAACGACTTCAAAGTTTGGCACTACTAAAACGTTGGCTAATACGGGTTTTAAAATGTAGTTACTGGTAAGATATGTAGAATTTTGAATAAATCAGGCCAATTGATTGAAGTCCATTAAGCTTTACGCTCAATTAACGTCCTTATATTAGTACCTAATACGTTCCAATTCTATTTGACAGTTGCATTAACAGACAGATAAAATCTGTATTGCACATTACAATAAAATAAACAGAAATGCCTGGGAAACAGAAGACAGTCAACAGTAACCACAGCTCAACCAGCGGACTGGAGTTTTAATACTTTTCTTTCTTACCATGAGCCATAGCTTTTTAATTTGCCTCTGTGTGTGTGCGTGTGCATATTTTGCGTACCTATATATATGGGCAAGCATATTTGTTAACTGAGTGAAGTGATGTTCCCAGAGGTGCCCTGGTTTCCCCCAGAGACGGCAGAGTCCATCCTTCACGGTGACATCACTGCACAGGATGCCCACATCGGAACAGCCCCGTTCCCTCCGAGGCACACCAGCACCACTCAGTGATTCAAAGAGGATGCTTTTTAGCATCACACAGCACTCCCTCCCATGAAGGCTCAGCGTTCAGCTTTCAAAGGGTTTCCAACTCCTCCTGGCCCAAGGCCTCTGCTTTTATAACACCCTTTGATTCACGAGCATTCATCACATCTCCTGCTCAAATGTTTTGGGAAGCTGACTCGTACTTTTGAATATAAAGCAAACACCACCAGCAGACATGACCAACGGAGCACAAATACGGCTGGACTTCCCCAAGCTTGCACGGTGTACTGGGTTATGGAGCTGCTCCACAGCTGCTAAAACAGGCCCAAGGCAGATGATCTACTTTTAGTCTCTTCCACTGTCTTCTAACATTACTAGCTCATTTCTCTCTGCCCTCCAATTTACCAGCCTCCCTTCCTTGCTCTCAAGGTGATTTGAGGCTTATCAAACAAAAATTTCTTCAAGTTTGAGGTGATCAGCATAAAAGAGATTAAAAGAAAATATAACCCCTATAAATAAGTAACTTCATGCCTGGATTAGGACAGGATTTGATAGGTGGTTTAGATTCATGTATCTCATTTCTACAAAACTAAAGCCCCTTAGAGGAAAAAGTACATCTATTAAATTTACTGACAGGATACGTGTCAGTGTGAAAAGTCTACAACAGAGACAAGCGAGCAACTGTATTTTAAAACAGAAACAAAAAGCCCCAAATGTTATCTGCTCTACAAATCATCTACAAATGAGATTAAACGTCTTGATGATTCGCTTTTCTTTCTTTCTTTAGTGCCATAAATTGAGGTGTGTGGTGCTAAGGCAGACTGCAAAATGTTGAAGAAAGAAAGCTGAGATGTCAGGCACAGAAATTTGGCTAAGAGACATAGCAGGAGCATATTAAAGAGTATTTAAGAGAAGTAAATGCCAGCATTGTCTTCCCACAGACCTATCATCTGGCTAGAAATCTGACGCATGCTGAAACACAAACGAGGCAACTTTGTGAGGCTGAAAAAGTGGCCCTAAAGAAACCAGGTATGCTTGACAGTTTTCAGAAAACCATGTAACAGTCAGATCATTTCTACTGGTCTCTCTGGGAGTTGTGAAATTACATTTCTTTTAAAACAGGAGTTCTTTGGAACTTAGGAGAGGAAAACAGCCCTGGTTCAATGTAACCATAAAGGTGAAATACACCAACAGGTTCTCGTCTTCTTTTCGATACCAACGAAAGTCTTGGACAAGTGGATGAAATTCCTTCCAGTTGTAGTTGTAGGGCTACTATAATCATCCACCTAGAGTTTACTTCAACATCTAGCAATATTTTACAGAATACAATCTGTTACTATGCCAAACAGAGGTAACAATTGTCATCCATTTTGCTGCTGACATTAAACAGAAATGGTAAAGTGCACTGTCCTCCAGAGTACTCACATTTTCAGGGATACTAGGAAGCTCTCTGGTGTCAGGCACAGTAAAGTAAGCATGCTAAAAAGAGAGCGAACATTGATTATTGCAATAATGTCAAAACCCACCAACATTTATTGCTTGGTATTAGTAACAGCAATAACAGCAGTTGACCAGCAAAGTAAAACTGACAGCATTTGGTACCAACTACCAGTATGACTTCCTTGCCATGGATTTCCAAGGTGGATTCTCAGATCACACACATGAAATGCATAAAGACAGAAAGTATCAAACGCTTGTGAGAAGTTACATTACGTTTGTTTAGTCTTCAGAGACACTGATACAGACACACGCTGTATGAGATATGCCAAGGAAACTCTCCTGTACTTCAACCCATCTTCCCACAGCCCACTGCAGCTTACAGGACGGACTGCAGGAAACAACAGCGAGCAGGTCCCCTGTAAGTCACAGCATCAGTAAGACTATCGCAAATCAGTGGGGAAGTTACGCAAGTTGACTGAGAAATGCTATCTGAAGTTTTCTGCCTACTTACCTGAAAATATTACTGAAGTTCTAGGCCACTTTTATACACCTTAACAAACACATTTTGAAAGACGATACTGGTCTCACAATTTCATAATCCATTATACTGTTACATTTTCTTAATTGCCTACACTGCAAGAGACCATGTTCACTCTAGCTCCCAGTGTGACGTGCATGATTCTTGGTTAAGAGCTTTGGGAAAGGAGAGAATTCGACTAGACTGCTTCTGTAAATTGATGTTGCATACAATTTATCTTATTTTTAAGATTTCCACAATTTGTCTTAGGGCTACTTAATAATTACTTACTGGAGCTTTACAGGCTGTTATATTCTTGGCACAGTTCCACAACTGGCACAATTTTCTTGTGTATATGTATCTCTCAGACATTTCAGTGCTTCATGAGCGGTCCATAACCCGAAACAGCAAGCGGGTTCAACCGCTACACTGAATACAGACACTGAATGTATAAACACAAATTTCTGTGCTTTGATGTATCACTGTTTTAGTTTGGTTGAAAAGATGCAATGCAAAGATACAGGAATAGGATACACAACTACAGCACATACAGGAACCTCATCCCAACAACAAAACAGGCTTGTAAACGGCCAGAATCAAATGCGTAACCACACCACAGCTAACAGTCCCTTGGCTGCGTTTCGATATCCTTTCTCGCTTCGTCGCCCATGAAATGTCTGAGACAAGGGGAGACCGGCAGCATTCCTTGAAACCACTGGTATGAAAAAACTGAGGTATCCAAACTGATCATTGCCTTTGGAGACAGCTCGTCCCCTTAACCAGAACTGCTGTTCACAAAAACAGCGAGCCTTGAGGGGACCGGGACATTTCCAGTGCCAGCTGGTGACCTAGCAAGGCCAAACAACTGTTACCTGTCGAGTGACGTTACAGGGTGAAGTGATGAGAGTAAGCTGCTGGTTGCTAAAAAGTACTTTAGAAGGAGGGAAGGAAATGAGAGGGAGAACTGGGGCTGCTCACACCACCAGTTTTCACGTGAACTCTAAAAGACTAATTGGCAACTGCAGCAATGTGTATCTTTAGCATTTTTTTCACTAGAGCCTGGAACACAAGGTTGTTCAGGAAAAATTCATTTGAAGACGAAAACTCCAAAAGACTAAATTCAAAATACAATCCCATCAATAAAATTCCGTATCTATTCTACCCATGTTCTTTGATTCATTTTCTCACAAGGTATAAAAATGGAATAAATTCTTTGTTGTGAGTCGTCTTCTTGAGGGGAAGGAGAGGAGAAGGAATCAGGAAACCTGATAAACAGTTAATACTCAAACCACTGCTATGACAGGTATGTCCGTTTGCTTTCCAGTCCTGTCCCCCTTGCACATTTGCAAGGTCTAGGAGTTCTGCAGAAGTGTGGACAATAAATGTCATGTTGCTGCTCTGTGACCTCTTGAAGGTCACAGACGATAGGGTTAGTAATTTCCATGGGGAATATACGCTACCTCCCTCCAAAGAACAGCATTTCAAAGACGCTGGAGGTTAAGGAAAGGGAAACAGAGGGCCCCAAATGTGAAAAGGGGAATTTCACAGCCCTGTGTCCTCACAGGAAAACAACATCTGCGTACACAGTTCCAAAAAGGAGAATTGCTTTTGACATTCCCCTATTATGATACGTAATGAAAATTAAACACCGCAGTTTACATCTCTCCCACTTCACTCACCACTCCAAGATGAACAGAGGTTCCTGGCTCAGGGATGGTAAGTTTATGAAGTGTTTCTAGGAGCTCACTCCTTTGATTGTCCTGAAATAAGAATGAAAGGGGAGGGGGACAGAAGGAATTGTAAGTAGGCATTGCTATAACAAGCTAAACTCCAAGACAGAAGGGCAATGTTTGTGGAACTGGGGGCTTAGAGAACTTGCAAGTGTAAAGAAAAATGTGAAAATAGATTTATACATTAGCCTATGAACAGCAACGAATGTACTTTCCTCTGACAGCTGGGGTTTATAACGTGATTTTTTTTAGAATACATTTTTAAAATGTATTCCTACATATGTCTGGAATGTTCTGAGTCACCAACCTATGCACTACATAGTTACTCAGCACAGAGCAAGCCAGCTTTCACTGCACGTTCTTTTAACAACTCATTAGCTTAGGGTAAAGCCACATGTATTTAATCCATCTAGATGAAGTGATTCTAACTGCTTTACCTCAAACATGAATGATTCTGACAAATGCAAAATACAATAATTACCACAAAATGGTAACAAATTAATGCACCAAACCAACTGGGAAGTTTAAACTTGGATATTTAAAATATATGAAACTAGGCTAGGTGTGGCAATCATATATGTGATTTCTCTGTATCATGAACTAGCATTTATAAATCTAGAAGCAAATTTTAATGGCTTAGTTCACATCTTTTTCATCACCTCAGACTGGATTTTACTTCGCTTTTCTTTACAAGCAAAACAGCATCTGAAGGGCTGGGGCCAGATGACGCTCCGTGGGTAAGCATTTTGCATTACTAAGCTTGGTTCCACGCTTACTCTACCTGACAAGTAAGCTTGGATAAGACATCTGTCAAAGATTCATGAAACACTGCAATATGGGAACCGCACCGATGTGCTGAACACAGTTAGGTAATCACAAAGCCTGCGCAGAGTGGGTGACTGCAGGGAAACCATTACCTTGTCTTGGATCCACAGTCGCCTTGCTGGACTTTATGTTTTCCCAAAAAGAATTTAAAAGCATATTTATTTTTTTCAAAGGCACTTTCAGTGTGGCTAAATATCATCTTACATATTACTGCATCACACAGATTAATAATTCACATGGTCATCTCTGATCTAAGCACTTCTTAAAACAGCCTGTTTTCAGCCTCTCTCCCTCGTTTGATTTAGGGCAGGGAAAAGAAGAGTTAGTACTTTAGAATAATACCTGTCCTTTTGCTGAATAATCTGCCAAGACATTGAGCAGCTTATAAAAGACTTCAAACCATGGGAGGTAACTAAAAGAAAGAACAGAAAGAGAAAGCATACATTAAGTTGATAAATCTCAGTTGATAAATCCAGGATTGGTGGCCTTTACTATCCAGCTGCATCCTAACAGCAGCCTCCCCGGGACACGACACTTGACAAACATCTGTTGGGAAAGCCACATCGGATCTGCCATTTGACGGAGAACCCTGCCAGGTTGAAGCATCCCTTTCCTTGGAGGTCTGCGCTTCAGTATTTCTTCCCAGCACTTCCAGCTCCCCGTGGGCACCAATCAGCACGTGTCGCACCAGCTCTGAACCAACCTTGGCTCAGTGCTGGGCCCTCACCCTCCTTCTCACCCCGCACACAACTCACAACCCAACAGAAGATTCAACCTGCAAGGCAAACGTACACTAATGTATCTGTGTTCATCTATGGTTGAACACTTTTAACCCTAATAACTTCCCGGAGGATACACTGGATAACTGCTGTACAGCTGCTGCGGGACCTGGTAAGCTGAAGCCAGACAGTTGGTTTGGTTTTGAATCCCGACACAACTGGATTTTTTTAACTGCACAACCAGTATCTTAGTTTTCAGCTACTGACAAATCTTATTCCACGTGCTGTGTCATCGTATGTAGCCCAGCCCTTAGTTAGGCCAAACAGAATCTTTGCCTTAAGTCAATTCGCACTCAACTTACAAAAGTAATAAAGAAACAAAAGACAAAAAATCACATCTTTTTCATTTACATTGCATTCCCATGCCAGAAATAAGACAGCCAAGATGTTACTTTTCACTACAGTATGCGTTGGTGTGATTTTGTGCCCTATTTTCATAGCACAGTTCTTTATTTCAATTCCTTTTTTCAATACCGGCATGGAATTTCCCCTCGGCTGCAGCAAATAGGAACGGAAGTTTGCGTGATGCACAAACTGATTCTTCTTCTAATCACAGATGCTTTCTGAAGCAAATGGATTCTATTCTGATATAGTGAGACAGGATTTAAAGTTTTTATAAAATATGACTACATTCTGACAACTATAAAGAATTGAGTGCCCCACGGTTCCTAACTGTACGGCTTTTAGTAATAAATGAAGTGAGAAGCTATATATGAGACAGATAAAGCCAACAGCACTCCATCATTAACATTTGTTTGAAGCCTGCAAATGCTACTGTAAAATGTAAGTAGCTTATCAAAATATACTGATAAGCAACTTAACTTTTTGTGTTATATGACAGTATTATCATTTAAATTAATATCCTCTAAGCATCTTTACAAACTATGTATTAGACTAGACCAGAAAGACAGACAATTACCACTTTAAACAGCATTTAAGTTTGGCATTCTACTGTAAACAATCAAGAAGGATTAGTTAGAAGATAAGTTTCTTTCTTTCTGTTTAGTTAAATAAACTTCAGCAGAGTTAAAAGCCATTACAAGAGTAACACGAAATCCTCTCAAAACATATCTGCTAAGTAGAGATTAAGAACCTGGTAAACAAACCCTTCCGAGGCATCTATCAAAGGAGTTTGAGCAGACAGAAACCCAAGAAGGCAGAAAGCCCCCGACTATGAAACCAGAACTTGGTTCAGTAAGGCATGTTTAAAGTTCTACCAAATTGCTCGGGGACCCTGCTGGAAAACTACATTCAGAGAATCAAAGTGGGAATCTTTTAAAGCATTACTGTGTGTGCAATGTGTGTGTCAGCACAAAAGCAATAAACAGCAGCAAGTCACCCCAGCTCTCACTTTGCTGGAGCCGCACTTGAGCAAGAGCCCCGTCGCCCGTGGGTGAGGCCTCAGCAGGCTCTCGGCCCCGGCTGCCACAATCCCTGCCCCTACCCATGGGGATGATGTTGAGCTCCGAAACCAAGGTCAGGCTGGGTTCTTCCTTCAGAGATCTATTTATGTGTCCTGCTGGGGCCCGTTTGCTCACAGCTAAACCTCACCTCACCACAGCTTCAAGGGAGGCGTCTGGTACCGCCGTACCTCAAACACGACAAATCTGCAGGTTCTATCCATGAGAACACTCCAATGTTAATTCTTTCACTCGGCACCTAGCACGTAACTGCTGTGATTCTAATATCAATGACCCAGGCAGAGTCTCATACTCACAGGACGTCAGCACATGAGCAAACCCTCCACAGAGGCAGAGGGAAGGTTTCTGTCACCCCTCGTTGGATCTCCCTTTTCACCAGTGTCTTACTCTGAACTTCATTACTGTCCTCCGTTGAACACAAACCTTCCCTTATTTCAACCCATACTTTCCAAGTAATAGTTTAGCATCTCAGCATAACTAACTTTTTCTTATTTTAAAAATAACTTCATATTTTGAGGAGAGAAGCTTCACCGTTTTGAAGCTGAAGGAATCTGCTGGTATTTGAAGCCAACCTCAACACAACGCAATACCCGGTGCGTAGCTCTTGCTCAACAGAGGTGCAAGACAACATGAAACAAACCAACCCACCACAAAACTGTGTACATTATGTAGACAACCTCGTTTCAATTTTCACCTCCCTCCTTTGTCACCGCAGAATTCAGGATCTCTCTCATCCTGAAAGCTTTGGCTATGTTAGAAAACTAATTTATCCTGCCATCTTCAATCCTTTTACTTCATCACTTATTCCATGTGTTTACTACTCAGGAGTGAGACGGTTCTGCTTTTATCAGAGCAAATTGTGACCAGCTGAAGTTGCAAAAAAAGAGAAAAAGAATCAATAAATATAGTTATCTGCATTTGTTTCTACATCTCTGCCAAAAGGAAAGAAAGGATGTGGATTTTTTCCTACAAAAAGCAAATCCTGATGGCAGCCTTTAAACACCCCCTGCTCCGAAACGGAGGTTGAATTTATAACTAAAAACTTTCTGTACCACATGCAGCTTAAGTAGCACAACTGGTAGCACTACAGAAGATTTATGGCTTATGACTTGCTCATATTTAATTTGTAACCAAACACTTCCCCTTCCTCTTAGCTACCTTAGAACTTTTGATTAACTCTTGTTTTCACAGGTCAGAGGTTAAACAAAGGAAGGGAAGCGCTCCGGAGTGAAATTGCCCAGAGCACCATAGCATGCGAGCAAGCGCGCGCACCCGCACACACATCCCCCTTCACCAACATCAAAAAGATGAGAGACTAGAGATCCTTCAAGGGAGTTGAAGTTCAAAGACTCCAATAAGCATAAATCAGATTGTGGTTGAAGAGTAAACAAAAACAAGAGGGCAATCTGAAATTTAAATTTTTTTTAATTTTACCCCCGTTTTCAGTTTCCACACGTACAGCGATGTATTCGCCACGAATCGTGAGAATCAAACCAAAGCCTAATCAGCTTAGGCTTCTTCAAGCTGAGAGATCGGTTTATCGCTCTGCCCTGCTCTCCCTCTGAGCCTCCAGTGTGCGACGCAGCCTCGGCGCTGGAGCCAGGCCAGTCTGACGGGAAACAAATATGGGCACAGGAAAACTGCTTATTATGCTACATAAGGCCTGCACAAACTCTGCTGCACAACTTGCACAGTGCCTTATTCAGTAACTCATATGTCATCACCTTTTTAGTGCACTCCTTGAAAGTACAAAACATCATTAGTTACATGTGTCATAGCAATTAGGGTCAGTCAAAACGTTAAGACAACAATGCTGCGCTGCAGCTTGTAAACACACGTTTCCAAAACGTAGTGTTTAAAGAACAGTGGTGCAAAACCAACTGACAAGCCAGGCTGAGACATCAGGAAAGATATCAAAAGAAGTGAATTAGCATGATAACAAACCCCAGGGCGTCTGCGGTTAGGAAGAGGTTCGCCTTCCCTAGCGCAGCCTTGCCGGGGGAAGCGGAGCCTTTTGCACCCTGGGCGCACAGCAAGCTGCAGGGTGCAGAGGACCGGCGCACCGACAGCTGCCGCCGGTACAACTCGCCGGTCCGCTCTGCTCGTACAGCCCAATCTCTACTTCAAAAGTTACACTGAACAGAAAATGTCATCACCCCATATTGGCTGCTACGCAGATGAAAATGCCATACTGCAGTCAATTTAGCTTTGAGTTTTTCAACATATTAATCCACTCGTGTGCTTTCACATATGAAAGGAAAAAACTACTCCAGCGCTGCGGCACATGTGAGGTCACGTTTTCCTTCTGACCTCCAGAAAGGACTGCCACCAAAACTGGAGAATATTAAGCTAGCCGTTTTGAAATAAAGCAACGGCATTTAAACGCACGTACACACACGTACACACAAACCACGCGTGTACATATTGTCATTTCACCGGATGAGGGATGCAGGAAGGGATGACCCAACAAAACTTCCTTTGGTGATACTAAGTTGCCAAAGCAATGAAATTAGGCAGAAAAGTGGCTTTCCAGGATCCTCCTACTCTCATCAAACACTTCATACAAAAGCTTTTAAAACCAAAACAATTAGCATTGTTTACAATCAACTTTTTTTTTAAATAATGAAAAAGAAACCGCTCCTCTTCCCGTGACTGACACTAGGGAACATTAGTTGTAACTAACACGTTATTTAGCCGGGTCAAACAGTACCTAGGAATAAAAAGCAGACAGACTACAATAGCCCACAAAAAACCTGATGCCTCCCTTTAATCTATTCCTAGTCCAAGCCCTCTTCTAGCCTGTTTGACACAGGCAATTTTGAAATAAAATTTCAGTATCTTCAGCCACCGAGGTAAGTCAGCCCATGGCAAAACCTAGACAAGGCAGCACTGTAAATTTCACCCCACTGCTCATGTCGGGTCTACCATGGCATTATCCAGGGCTGGATTTTAAATGAAGGTAAACTTCCGCCTTTCAAAACGCCTTAGCTTACCGGAAGATTTAAGGATCATGGTTCACAGCTTTAGTGCAGTGCTCTGGCTACTGTCTATGTAAAGTGAAGGGCTCATCGACAGCAAGTTACGGGACTTGAAGCTGCACAAACAGGAGAGCTACTGGGTTATCTCCATCAGACTATAACAATTGCCTTCCAGCCAACACAAAAGCCAAGGAAATACATACAAAACCAAGACGATAGCTCTACCGGAGTGCC